TTTCGATTTCATATGGAGATGGTAAATGTACATATTATAGTTATTAATAATATCAAAATAAAGACGAACTAAAGCGAGAAAGAAAACCAACTAAGGTCGAGTCAGAGAACAAAGAATTTTTCTTGTTTCGGCCTCTAGTTTCGATCAGATTTTTGGCATTGATTACTTTTTTTTACTTTGCAAACAGAATGGATACACTAATGATAATGATTAATTACTAGTTATAACGTTGACGACATCAGTAGATTGATTTTGTTCTTCAAATATTTCTATTGAATGAGAACAAACTTGGATGAGCGTTGGATTGTTTTATTATTGATCAGTCAATATTGTTCGCATAAGACATTAACTTAAAAAATTCTCTAAACAATTCAGAGCTTGCCAACAAATTAAAGTTCAAAATGTTATCTATCTGTACGCATGTTAATTAAATATGAACTTCAATTATTGTTCAGATCTCATCAATTGTCTTGTTAGTGACCATAACTGACAACCGATTAACATGAATAACAACTTCAATCGAAAAATATTTTCATTGAAACAAATAAAACAAGTTGAAAGTGTTACACTTTCATGTCTATACTAAAAAGAAATGATTCTCCTTTCGTGTTAGATTTCATAAAATCATTGTTTAAACTTTTTTCGAGATAAGAGTTCAATAGTTATATCGAAAAAGTCATACGACTAAATCTAAAATAAATAGAAAATAATATAAGACTTATAAGGCTAGCATTTTTTTTATGTAAAATTCATCTTCAATATATCAAAACACTTGTGTACTATAATTGCACTCTGGAGAAACAGGTGAAAAATACTTCTAGCGCTGTTTGCATGAAAACAAATGCTCACGACATCTACACAGGATATTTTTTGTCATTTTGCATGATTTCAAGTTTTCTTCACATGACAAAAAAAAACAGAAATATATTGATAGCATTACACAGATAGATAATTTCCATGTGTACTACGTCATCATAGAAAAAACTACTATTGCAATACATGTATTTATAGATTTTCTCAACACATTTACTAACTTGACTGTATGTTCATCTTTCATTATTCATCGTACACCTGAATCTCACCTTCTTCTTATTGTCGGAAAAAAATTATTTGGTTCAACACATTCGTGTCAATTAGAATGTGGATATGGTAAGAGTGTTTCCCTTCTCTGCACCTATACAAACACTCACACCTACTCAAACAAACGTACTAGTGAACTATTCAAAGTGCGTAAGAAATAGCTCTGCACATTGTTTTACTACCTTCTCTCTCGCTTTCAAAGGATGATCACTATCAAGTTGCTGTGAAAAAAATACACAACCATTCCCAATAATCTCTAATTGCCGACGAATGGAATCGATGCTGACAAGGAGAAAGTCAAACAGTTCAAACTTTCGACTCAATTGAAAATGGGCGATCATGCAAAATGTATCAAACCGTACGACAAAGTTTTAAAGATCGATCCACAAAAATGAGAATGCTCAAGCTGAACTCGTTGAATGGAACTGTCACGTAACGACATGAAGATACTCAGCAAACGAACTCGGTTTAGGTTCTTCTCTCGAACGACTCTTCTAATTCATATTTACTAAAAAAAAACGCCAAATACCATTGCGATTTTCTGTCTGTGTTTCGTTGTGATACGTTATTATTCGGTTCCATTCTTTTTTGTCTTCTATTATTAAAATGTTTCGATGAACAAGACTAACACTGCAATGTATTATAAAAGAAAAAGAAACATTAAAAAAAAAACATCTATGCTAAACATGCACGATCTTCCTGTTCTTCACGAACAAAGTTCTATGCCGAAAGACCACTGAAAAGAGCGGCGATACATCGAAGAAACATTCCACATCCGAGATAGATGTAATTTTTCTTGCCGACAATTTCTCGAAACCAGAATAATGACCAAAGTGACGTCACAACACCTGGTAGAACAGCCACAATGGGATAGGCAACGGCACCTTTCAAGGAACTAATGGCCACAATGAAGCCAATATTCGCGATGCCCCACAATGATCCACTGACCATAGCTGGTATCGCAATGATCGGGTTGATGGCCGGTCTATTACGTTTCAAAAGTGCATAGATAATAAAGTAGATGGTAGACGAAAGTAAAATTCCTGAGTACTGCGAATTGATGTAGTAAAGACCATTGGATGGAGGCCGTTCTCCCTTGTACAGATATTTATCGGGATGATCACGAATATATTGATCAGGTATGAACATCAGGCCATAGAAGATGCCAGCCAACGCTGCCAGAAAGCAACCGAGAGCCTTTTGAAACACTGTATTAAGACGATTGAGAAACGGAAAGTCGGTTTCCGTCTTTACTTCGACTCTTACTTGATTGGCATCCGATTTCTTCTCCAGTTCTACTGTAACTTCTTCATCTGGTCTGGAATCTTCACTTGGCTTGGGTGATGTATTGTTAGACTTGATTAGAATAAAGAAGATGGCACTTATCGCAGCCAATATGACTGATGCATAATTTATGGTTAGTTTCAATGGTGTCGATGGAATTTGTGGTTTGACACCAAATATACCGAAGCGACCACCTGCCCAGCCCATGATCAAACAGGTCGTGCTCCAAATCAAGAGACCAACAGCTAAGCCACATGTCTTGATACAAAACACCGTGACAAGATTGCCAGTTGCCCACAGTGCGCCTAAAATAATTCGATTGGCACATAGAACTTTTAGTTATGTCTTACCTCCAATAAGTACGAGTGGATAGAATCGTTGATTGTCTAAAAAAAGATCGAGTATAAGACCAACAACCCAGACCGAAACACAGTAGACAAATTGAAAGAAGAAACCGTCTCCGGTAGAATACTGTTTTACGGGAACAAAATTCGAACCGAAGAAGATCGACGCAACTAGACAACCAATAAAACCTGCGAAGAGTGATGGAGCTGCATCCGATGTTGATGAAATTTTCGTCTCATTCATCCATGAAGAATTCGTTATTGTTTCTTGACCGATAGGAGAACTACTAATAAAAAATGTCGCAATTGTTGTTGTCAAATCAATCGAAGGCTCTGACATAGTTTTGGTACTGCAAAGACGACAAATATAACAAGACAATCGAGATATGAGCTTCTGTCCGTTCTATTCAATGTTTATTTTGTTACTTCATGTCACTATGTGCAATTTTTTTTCTCTCTCCATACCTCTTTTATATATACAGTGTTCAGTACAAAGCACGTAGTAATGATAGGTAATCGAGGATAGAATGAAAAAGAAGTTTGAACAGTGACCGATCAAGTGGTTGCACATAATGTATAATACACGTAAGAGATTATTGATGATTCATTGCATACTAAGATAAAATATGTCGTAAAATACGACACAATGCACAATACATTTATATGCGACATGAAGTGCTCGTTGCGACACATTCTCGCATAATACCTCCATCAAAATATCTGATCGCATACGAATCTACTCGTAGTCATATTCTGCAATCATATTCAAATAGCGAATCTTCTTTACATATTATTTTCTTATTTCAAAACTAAATTTACACATTTTAATTCATTTGGTTTTGTAGATTTTTTTAAATGATAATATTTAAAACAATTTTTTAATTTATTTTTATTATCTATCTTTCAAAAAAAAAATAAACAATACGTCTTTTTTTAAATACACAATTTTTTTGTCATGTTCAACAATCACATTTTGAATTGTAATAGTTGATCTTTTTGTAAAAGAATTTTTGATTTTGATACTATTTTCATAGCCTGTAAAATAGTCTAATACTGCCAGTGCTGGTTTTTGTATTGTGAAAATGTACTATCATATGCATAAAAAAAGCCAACAATAACATATATGCCATATAAGTTTCAATATCTAAATCAAATAAGATTTGGTTCAAATAGGTTAAGTAAAAGTAACATTGATTACCATGGAAAAAATGATGAGAATAACGATTGATAGCATAGATTTATCTGATCATGTAATATTTTAAACACTCTTCTAAACATGCTGAACAAGGTAAAATCAATCACGATGGATATGACATTATTTTTAGAAAAAAAACCAATCAAATTACTGAAAGAATCAATTAAATCATATGGTGGATCTATGTTAATTAAAAATTGAAAATTTTACAAAACTTAAATGAAAGACATTACTCACTCAGTATATCACCGGATAGAAGAAAAATAGATCCTGAAAAAAAGTGAACTTGTTGGTCGATGACAGTTGAAAGGCTATTAGTTCAAAATTCTTCAATTGTCTGGAAAAAAGCATCCAATACAGGAGCAAATTCATGTTGTTTTAGATATTTCTTTCGATACAAGTCAGCAAAAACACTCATTCGTCTTAGGCATGGATGAAGACACGAGTTGCACGGACATCTCACACCTTCACGGGTACCCATACCCACATTCGTCTCCCCCCCCTTCCCCATACATCCCTCACCTACACCCATCTACAGCCACAATCATACTCACATCTTACATCCAGTCACCTGCATCCAAACCTACACCCATACGCCCACATCTCCATAAGCATCTTATTTTAAATTATATCTTGTAATTCAACAAACAATTCTGGTTATATACATTTTTTCACCATATGTCACACAATTTCTGGATAGACGAAAATAAAATATGGAAAGTAACTCCATTGGTTCAAACAAGCAAAGATAAGTTACATACACTAGTGTGTGTAGCATATGAGTGTAGCTTATCTTAACCTTAAATTTTTCTGTAAATAAGCCTCTATGCCAATGAGAAGAATAAAACAAACAGAAATATATTGATGACATTACACAAATAAACAATTTCCATGTGTGCATATGTCGCAAGAAAAAAACTAATATTACAATGAAGGGTAATGATAAAAAGCCGAAAATGGAAACAACCGAAAACATTGTGATTAGTAATTTACGATTGAAATATGATTCATATCGATGATAACCAATAATATTTTTTCGATTTGTTTCGGTCTTCAGTCTTTTTTTCGGCCTTTTATTATTTATTATCATCCTTACAATGAATGTACTGATAGATTGTAATATCATTTGGTTAGACGATAGAGATATCAATGACAAAGATTTAGCTCTTAATATTCAGCATTATGTTATGTTTTCTCTCCATATATTTACTAAATTGGCTGTATGTTCATCTTTCATTCTTCATTATACATCTGAATCTCGCCTTCTTCTTATTGTCATACCAGATCGTTATGTTGATCGACTCTTAAAAGAAGCTCTTATGTTTCTATCTTCTCAGATCACTGTCTTTATCTATGTTCTTGGTGATAAATGGTTATTTCGTTGGAAAGCAGACACTCGTATTCGAGATATTTTCCATATAGATGAAGAACAAAGAGTGTTTGAGAAGTTGCAAGATGATTTACAAAAACATTTAATTCAACGTTGGCCGTCTGGATATTGTGTTTTTCGTCATGACACACAACAAATTGCACTTGATAAATTGAATAATGAAAATGCTAAATTTATGTGCTTTCAACTACTTATTCAAGTGCTTCTTCGAATGCCTTCAACAGCAAGAAGTAAAAACGATTTGATGCAACAAAGTTTTTTTGCTTACAGCAAGAATAAGGCAGTACAAAAGAAAATTCTTGAATTCAACTGAACATATCAGGCTAACGATGCTATTAATTGGTATACCCAAAATGGTTTTCTCTTTCGTCTTTTTAACCAAGCTTGTCGTACTGATGACATTGATCTCTTATTTAGTTTTCGCTTTTTTATTCGTGATTTGCATCATCAACTTAAGGAAATGTATTGTGAACAGTACTCAAAACGTAATTCGGAACAAACAATAATTGTCTATCTAGGTACAATGATATCGAAAGATGAACTTCAGATGCTTCTGGCTTCAACTATCGAAAAAAAAATTATTTGTTTCAATACATTCGTATCGACTAATCTTGACAAAGAGGTTGCTGAAGAATTTATATGTGCACCATAAACCAATGATCAAGTAAGCGTGCTGGAAGAAATACACATCGATGACAAGATAGATATGTCATCTGTGCCATTTGCCGCTATATCTGAATCCGGTGTAATGAAAGACGAACATGAAATTCTCTTATCAATCGGAAGTGTATTCGAATTGGTATTCTTTACACAGACATGTGCAGTTATGAGCTGGCTTTGTACCACTTACAAGAGACACTTGATATTCGAAACAAAAATTTACCATCGAATCATCACATGATCGCTCAAGTATACAACAACTTGAGCAGAGTCTACAATTTTCTAGATAATTCATTGAAATCTTTCGAATGTACAGAATAGACACTTATTCGTCAGATTCAATCGCTGCTAGACAAACATCCACATCGAGGTACGATGTACAATACATTGGACGAAGCATATTACCGTCAAGGACAATATTCAATGGCATTATTAAATTTCGAGAAATTGCTTCACATATATCAGTCAGCACGAACTCGAAATCCTCTTTTTGAAGCAATTGCTCTCAGCAATATGAGCATAGCCATGAAAGCTCAAGAAGATTTTGATGGAGCTTTAAGAGCATATTTACATGCGCTTCCAATAATTGAGCGTGAGCGACCTCGTCATCCTGATGTAGCTCGTTGCTTCAATAATATAGGCTCTGCTTATAGGGATAAAGGTGACAATTCAACAGCTATAACTTATTTTAATCGGGCACTCGACTTTTGTCAATTGTATCTGACAGAAAATAACGAGGTAACGGTCATCAGCTATCTTAATGTAGCATCAGAATTAAATGAAAATCAATATGAGTTGGCTATGGAATACTTTCAACGAGTGATCTCGATTCATAATTATATCGGCCTATCACATCATTATCAGTTATTACAGACATCGCGGTCACTTTTATCAAAAACGATACGATCATCTAGCCGTATTAGCATGCTATGAACAAGCGATTTTTCATTGTAAACAAGCTTTACTTCCACAACGACATCCCTTGTGGGTTCTAGTTTATACAAGTTCTGCTCGTGAGTACGCTCTGATAGCTGAGTACGATCGAGCATTAGTAGAATATGAACATGCTTTACAATATATTACTGATGAATCGCTGGAAATACCACGAATTTATAAGAGCATAGATCTGTGTCGAAGACAAATAATCGAAATCGACGTTCATCAAACAATAACACTTATGCTAGATGAATTGGCTATTCTACCGTGATAACTAGCTATAATTTGAATTAACAGAATAAAAAAAAGAGAACTCTTCGTATCGAAATATATGATATATAGATAAATTCAAATTTATTGAGAAAAGTCGTTAATGCAATCTCAACGGGATTAACATTATGAAATATGATGTAGCTGCGAGTGGGTGCAAATTTCTACCCTGTATACTTCAACACTCCTTTTAGATCATGTTTCCCAAGAGTGTCGAAATTAGAGATATGAACAAATTTTGTCACATGGTTTGATTCATTCGAACAGTTCTTTAGCTCACTTGATCTGAACTTTGAACCGGGGCGCTGATCGCCATGTAAAATCTTTAATTATATTGAAAGAAAGATTATTTAGATATATGTAAAAAGGTGTATGTGTGTGTGTGTGTGGTTTTTTTCTGTTTGCAATATTTTTTTGAAAAAGCCTCACATTCATCGATGAACCAGTTGTCATTCAATTTTTACAAGATTGTTAGGGTATTTCTACATAGTAACATAGATCTGAAGCTGGTTTAGAGTTCGTTAATAAAAATATTGCATGTTTTCCTTGAATTTATTTCATATCATTGCAGAACTAGTGAAGCAGAAGATATAAGATTAGCTTTAATTATAATCTTAAGAAAATCTTTGTTTAGTGTTATAGATGTCAGAAGTTAGCATATTGAGTTCACTATACCATTTTGGATGCATGTGGGTGTGAATGGAGAGACAACATTATTGTAGAGCATTGAACTAGATATTACAATAAGCGAAATCTTATGTATGCGTTTCCTTTAAAGAGTTGGTTTCTGTAGAAATTGGCCTCGGTCAAAAAGTTGCTCTTTCAAAAACTATTTAAAAAAACAAAAAGAAAAGCTCTAAGATCTATTATACAACATGAAATAGAAAAGCTTCAAATGGATGCTAGAAAACTAGTTTTGAAGTTTTTACGCCTACCAATCATAATAGAAAATCCTTTCAGCTACTCAAATATGTTTTTTTTAATATTATCATCGGAAAGAAAATTCAAACATACAACTTCTCTAAAACTTATGTCGATCACTATAGATTAAAATGAACATATTTATATTATCACATTACAATTGACTCGTGTATCAAACCAACCCATAATAATAATAAAAAACAGTTCATCCAATAATCCTCTTATATTTTATCAATAATAAAAATCTATTTAATGTTTTTTTTTTCTGAATAAATGATTGTTTATCAAACAAACAAAAGAAGAAGAAAAGTCATTAATCACATGTTATGCTGGAAATTCGTTTATCAAAAAGAAAATAATAAAATAAACCATGTTTGATTATTTTTTCTTTTTACTGATTGGAGCTTTATAATATTGTGCTGGTACAAATGGCATTTTAACAATTTCAGCTTCAACCGTACGATTACGAATATTAATATTTACTTTATTACCAACTTTAGCAAATGGAGTTTCAACATAAGCCATGCCAATATTTATAAGTTTAAGTGATGGTGATGGACAACCACTTGTTACCTTTCCAATAACACGACTTTTATCATCACGATCATTTCGAATTTCTGCTCCACTTCTTGGACATGAACCAGATGATTTTATTCCAATACGTTTTCTTGGTGCACCTTTTTCAAGTTGTTCTAAAATAATTTTTGCACCTGGAAAATCAGCTAATTGTCTTCGTCGCTTTCCAATAGTCCATGTTAAATCAGCTTCAACAGGTGTTGTCTGTTCATCAATATCATTTCCATATAAACAAAGACCAGCTTCAAGACGAAGAGAATCACGAGCACCAAGACCAGCCATTTGAGCAATACCAGATGATAATAAAGATTTAAGAACACGTTCAGCATTAACATTTGATATACTTATTTCAAAACCATCTTCACCCGTATAACCAGAACGATTAATACGACATGGAATTGATGAATCATTATCAAAATTTGTTAATCGTGTTTGCATAAAATAAAATTTTGAAAGATCTAATGATGATGGAAGATATGGTTGAAGTACTTCAGCTGAACGTGGACCCTTAATAATAATAAAAAATAAAATAAAATAAAATAAACAAGATCATTATTTTGTTTTTTTTTCTTCTATTTTTTTTTACTTGTAATGCAAGTAATGCTTGATTACTAAGTACTTCAATATCAACATCTAAACCTTGTCGTTTAGCTTTTTCAAGTTGACTCTGTAAATGAGCAAGATCTTGTATAGCTCGACCAGCATTTGATACAACAAATAAATAACCTTCACTTGTTTTTGTAACAATTAAATCATCAAGAATACCGCCACGATCATTTGTATATAATGTTAAACATGCTGAATTTTCCGGTAAATTTTCAAGATCAGATACAATTAATTTTTCAAAAAATCGAATACGATCAGAACCTTTAACATGTATTTGTAACATATGTGAAACATCAAATATTGAAGCATTCGAACGTGTATATAAATGAGATTGTATAACAGATGCAGAATATTGTACAGGTAATGTCCAACCACAAAAATTAACCCTGAATAAATAGGCAAAAAAAAAATGTAAACTTGATTTAATTGATCAATAAGAAACTCACATGCGTCCAGAATTATTTAAATGAAAATCATATAAAGCTGTTTTTTTACTCGCTTGTACATTAGCCGTATTAGGTGGTGTCGAAACTTCTTTAGTTTTATTATTACCTTTCAATGATGATAATGCTATTCCTCGACATTGAAAAATCAATCTTCCTCGATTGATTAAATTTCGTGTTAAAAAACTTGACATCTAGAATATTTTTAGATTTTTTTATTTTATTCATTATATTAAAATGTATGCTAAATTGACAAAAACAACAAAATGATACATCGAAACAATGACTTAGATATTGTCTACAATAATTTAAAACAAAAGAAAAGAAAAAAAGAAAAAAATTGTATGATGAGTCATATCCGATAATCACTCTACCTGAGAATATAAATTAAAAATATGTTTTCTAATTACATTACATGCACACACACATATAGAAAAAAAAAATAATCAGATTAAACGAAAGAACAACGAATCATTTGCCTGAGGTTTTTTTTTTGCATTAAGTTACAATTTGTTGATAATAATTTGAAGATGTAGTTGATTGTGGTTCGGTTATGACAGTAACAAGATCGCCAATTGCACGATTAATATCATCAGCCATATGAAAAAGATTATCGATTGTCATTAAATCTAATAACAAAAAAAAATTCTTTTCGTTTTTACACGAAAAAAATTAATTACTTGGCTGTCGTTCAACATTTGAACGACGCATAGTATGCACAGGAGACTAAAATTTAATAAAAATGAACTATTATATCGACATCAAAAGTCACGACACTCAAATATTTTGTTTTTTTTTTTGAATAACTCATGCGAAATGCAAAATAAGACTCTCATGGATATTTTCTGAAAAAAAAAGTTTTTTCTTATGAAAATATGTTTTGTATTTTGCGTGAGTTATTCAAAAAAACAAACATTTGAGTGTTTTTTTTTTACTTCTTTGTGTAATAATTGTTTTGAACGTTTTAATTGTTTTCCTAATTGTTTATTATGTTCTTCAAGAATTTTCATTCGTTGTTCTAATTTAATTTTATGTTGTCTTAATTGTTTAGCTTCACGTAATATATTACGTTCATTATAAATATCTAATTGTTTATTATCTAATTGTAATTGTTCTTGTTGTTGATTTATAATTAAAGATTTTTCTCTATGTTCTTGACAAAGACGTTCATATTCATCTTGTAAAAGACGATTTTCATCTTCAAGATCACGAATTATAGCTTCTAATTCAGCTCGTTCATCATTATCAAGTGAAATTGAACAAGGTGATGATGTATAAGTAACAATATTAGGCTTTAAAAAAAAAAAATTCAAATAAGAATAAAATTAAAATTTTTTCGATGAAATTATTTTCTATCTGTCTATTTGTTAGGTTTAGTAGTAATCTCTAGTAAAATAAATAGAAAAGTTTACTTCAGAGAATACAATTTTAATCGTAATTTTTATAAAATGAAATATAACTTAGTTAAAGAAATAAAAGCAAATACAACTACAATTTGAATATTTTTATGAAGATAATTCAACTTACTGTCAACATAAAAATATAGAATGTGCAAACAATTTCTTTCAAACGGTAAAGATCCTATGGTGCAATCTAATAGCAGTCGAATCTAAAATTTAATAGATACCGAAATACAATCCTTCAGGCTTTGATTGACTTTTTCCTCAGGGAAGCCAATAGATAACTGACATTTTAATCCTTCACATTAGGTTATATACGCAGAGGACACCAGATACTGATTAAGAAAAAACTTCAGTGTAGATCCAATCGGATCTGGACTCACATCTTTATCCTAGTCCCTCATTTATTATTTTCCTATTGTCAATAGTAATTATATAATTTTGATTATATTCTAGAAAATAATATATGAATTTTAGAGATGAAATCGATTTGAGTAGTCCAGACCGGAGCGACCGACCGATCTGTAGAGTCAATCGGGTGCTAAATTTTCGGACCCGGTCGAATCGTACGTTGACATTTTCAACAAAATTTTCTAATCGAACTAGGATAGCTGTCCCAAAGCTACGTGATACATTTTTTGTATTCAGTGACTAGGATAGAGCTCATCAGGTCTGAATTTCGGACCAAACCGATGAGCCGGTAATCGGTACCAGTTCGATCTCTGACGAATACGTTTGATTTTTTTTTTCGAAAGAACAGCAATGTAGTTTTCAAAATGTTTTATATTTATTTCTACATACTGATTTATATGAAGCATTGTTCAAGTTTCTACAATGTTGTGCAATGATAGAATGTTCATCATCACTAAAATAATGAAATTTTTAAAAGTATTTTTCTCAAAACAATTTATCTACTTACGATTCCATCAATGGAGAAATTTGTTGTATAATTTCAATGTCAGGTCTAAAGAAAAATTCTATCTATTAGAACAAAAGAACAAATTCAAATATCTATACTTTGAAGGTGTAGTTGTTGAAGAAAGTAATAATGGTGATGGTAAAATTTGTTGTTCATTTGTTGATAAAGTATTATCAAAAACATGTGGTAATGGTAAATAACCAAGTTTAGGATTTTTTCTATGTTTAGTACATAATTTATTTTTAAATATACGAAAAAAATCTCGAATATCTTCTGACGATGTTGTCTAACAAGACAAAAAAAAAAACATAATTTCTTTTTTTTTTATAAATTTAAATTAAACAAACTTCAGTATAATATTCTTGTAATGGATCAACCATTTTAAAAATTTTTGTTTGTTTACCAGAAAAAAAACAATTTTGACATATATCACAATTAAAATGTCTTAATGAACGATAACGAAATCCAAGTATAGGATATATTTTACATATATTACAACGTGCTTCATGTTTAGCTATTTCACTTGCTGCTAAACGATGTAATACAGGTAACCAAACAAGTGATTGTGGTTCAAGTTTAACCCATTCAAGAAAATCATCAACTGTTATTACATCGGGATCATGTGCCTAGAAAGACAAAAAAAAAAAATCTTTTTCATATTTAGAAAAATTTGAATATTATTGTTTTTCTTACATATTCAAAACAACTTTGAACACTCGGTTCAACACTTGATCCACCAAATGCTGCAACTTCACCAAGTTGTTTTGGAATCTAAATAGCAAAAAAAAAACAAATGATTAATTGTTTTTCGAATCGAAACTAGAGATATGCGAGATAAAGTTTTTTTTTTGTTTCATCCCAGAATTTATTTGTATCATATTTAAACAAATCATCTTGACGGATAAAGCTCGCTCAGGGTGACCTGTGAAGATTGACGACGAAGCATTGGAGATTTTGCTCCATATCAATTCACGTCAAACAACTCACGAATTGGCCGTGCAACTTAACTATTCTCCTATGACAGTATATCGTCATCTTCATGCTCTAGGCAAGGTGTCCATAGGTACGGCAACTGAATTCCACGGCAATTGTCTACGAACAACTTGGCTCAGCGAGTATCGACTTGTACTTCGTTGTTGTCCCGACAGAACCATGATCCATTTTTGGAACGAATCATTACTGAAGACGTCAACTTTCGTAGTAGAAAGCAGATTTACATTCAAAGAAGATAATGTTGTGCGTCTGATTGGATATGAATGGTGTCATCTATTTCGAACTCTTAGATACCAATCAAACGGTTACCACCGATGTTTACTCTCAACAGTTGTCGCACTTGCATGAAGCTCTATTCCAAGAACGATTGGTCTTTGCAAATCAGAATAACGTCATTCTCTTACGTGACAATGAACGACAACATGTTGCATATATTTGTGCAACAAACAATTCGAAGACTTGTATGAGATCAAATCCGACCTCATATCATAACCGTCTAGTTTCTACACACATGGATATGAAGCAATTGTCAACAAAATGGGCGAAGGTTGTCGAAACTAATGACGATTGTATTGTGGATTGATAATGCATATCTTTGTTGAAAAATAAAGTTTTTGTTGAGCAGAAAAAAATTCTCAGAACTTATGTTACGACCATGTAAGTTAGCACCGTATTCGAATAAAAGTTATCCATATTCGTCTAGAAGCCCGTCTCAAAGCTCCCAATCAACGTTTCGAGTACAACTCCACGAGTGTTAGCATCAACAGATGACACTATGTTGATGCTAACTTAATTGAACTTCATTCAATTGGTCTTTTCTTGTTATTCTCTCATTTGTTGGAGTCTTCTCTTTCGTTCATTCTATAGTTAGATTTTTTTTCGTTCTGTCTTTCTCTCTTTCAGATTTTGTCAGATTTTGACAAAGTACTGTTGAACTTTCTCCTATCTAGTGGAAGGTTGTATTGTATTGTCTCCGACTCGTCTTAAACCTCAAAATACTGTATATTATTAATGAAATTCTGCCACCATATTCGAGTAAAAGTTGCCTATATTCGTCTAGGAGTCTGTTCTAAAGCTCTCCATCAGCATTCCAAGTACAACTCGACAAGTTCTACCCAATGGTATGCTCGGATTTTCGAAAGTTCAAAGTATAGTTTTTGGGTTGATAGATGGCGCTACAGAAAATCTGAAAATCATATATTGAACTATCGGAAGTCTGAGGATACCATTGGATAGAACTCGTCGAGTTGTACTTGGAATGCTGGTTGAGAACTTTGAAACAGGCTCCTAGACGAATATGGTGTTAACTTCATTGATGTGTTACAACTCAATATAAAGAAGGCGGAAATAAGAAATAACATTCTCGTAAGATTCGAACTTTCAAGAAAGTAAAATACTTTACAAAATATATATTCAGAAGATATTTCATTTTTACAAAAACTTTTGTGAATAAATTTTTTCAAGTTCGAATATTACGTAAGCCATATAAATTTATATTATCTTCAATATTTACAGTCATTTTTCTAATATACGATTTTTTAGTTAATAATTAAAATACATTTGTTCAAATTATCAAAATAGTTTAAAATAATAAATACATACAACAATAGCTTGTTGAAATAAAATCGATAAACGATGTCGATCGAGAACATTTTGACCATCCTTTTCATATGCTACCAAAGAAAATATATCTAAAAATAAACTATTTAAAAAAAAAAGAACAAAAATATTTCATTTCTTATTAATTTACATCGATATTTTTCTTCAATATTTCCTCGTGAAAGTAAAGCTAATGCTATTTTCATTGATAATAAACGAATAGAACCAGTTCGATTTCTTTAAATAAAAAAAAAAAAAAAAACAAATAACCTGAATCAACTTTAAACTATAATTATTTATTAAAACTTACGTATCATAAATATTTAATAACCAATTCAATGTTAAATCTACAGTACATATAATATTAATTAATTGTGGATATTCAATTGATGTTTTATCGAAAATTTTTTGTAAATAATCAAGTACATCTATTATATCAATTGTTTTATTTAATGAATCAATTATTTCATTTTCATCAAATACACTTATTATATTATTTAATAATGTTAAATCAACTAGAATAACAAAAAAATAAAAATAAAATAAAAACAACAACTAATACATACGACAAAGACGTTTTTGTAATGTACGAAGTTTCATTGCTGTACGATAAGCAGAAAATCGAATATCATTAAAATTTGCAAATGATTGCATTAATTCATGCCTAGAACAAAAAAACAACAAATCATCATTAGACTTAAAAAAACGATTAGTCCTTTTTCTCATCATATTGTCAATAGAAATCAATTTTTTTTTTATTAACTTACATTTTTGGATGATCCCAAGAAGTTGTTTGATCTGAATGACTATAAAATAAAAATTTTCAAGAAGAAAAGTAAAAAACAAAAAAAACAAAACTATTTTTATTTACTTTATATAATAAGGTATTTTATTTAAAGCTATTGCACGTTGCCATGGATATTCTACTGAACTTGAATAAATATCACTTGTCGTATTTTTAATTGACTCTTGTAATGATTGAATTCGTTGTGAAACTGATGTTACTGAATGTTCCCATCTATTGATAAAAAAAAAAACAAAGTAGATACGAAATGAAATTTATAATTTTTTGTTTTTATTTCAAACCTTTGATGAAGTTCTTGAGCTCGATTAGTAACATGAATATCATATTCAGTTTCGACAGTTTGTGCTGATTGTTGAATGTCATCAATGGAAGTTTTACATGACATTAATGTTGCCAAAAGATGCTGAGAGAAAAAAAGAAAATGAAAATATTTTTTTTTTGGTTTTTCTCAATAGATGATAATGAAATTTTATTCAATACCTTAGCCTGTTCAATTTCGGCTGGCACTTGTTCGGTGTTTAAAGCTTTAATTTGTGGTTTATGTGCATAAGCAAGTTCAATTTCAAGCAAGTGTGCATGCAACCGATCACACTTGCGACGTAATTCTTCGACCGCCTAATTAAGAATAATCACGGAAAAGAAAAATTATTTTTTTTTTTTTGATCAATTAAAAAAAAATTCATCTACCGTTTGAGCACGTTTTAATACATTTAAACGATATTGAATATTATTATTAGCATTTTTCCAATGTTGTGTTAATTGAAGAACATGTCGACGAACCTTACGTAATGTTAAATCGGATGGTTTTTTTATTGGTGATGAAGGTAATGAGCTACCACCTGTATCGTCTAAAGAAAATATTAAATGATAAAATACAACAATCGAGAGAGAAAAAAAAACGAAGGTCAAAGTTAGTAGCTCGATACACAAGCTTAATTATTCGCTTTTCCAATGGTTGATTTAAATGGCAAATGACATGGTAGACAAGTAAAGAACGACGACCTCTGTTTCTTATGATCGATTTTCTTTTTTTTTTTGTTCTCTTTACATACCAGTACTTTCAACATTATGAGAATCTTTATTATTTGATGTATATAAACGTTTGCCACTATTAATTGCTTCTTCAACTTGTGTACGAAGATTTTGATTAAGTTCAGAGATAATACGCTAGAATAGAAAAGAAAAATAAATTCATTATCTACCTTTATTTGAATAGAAGAATATCAAGGTTAAAATTTAGTTAAATGGCATATTTGATGAAGAAATTCTTCTAACTGATAAACTCTATTCGAGTTCATATTTTGCTAATTATGAGTTATGATCATTTTACTGAATTTTTAGTCTATTGTAGAATATTTCAAGGAAAATGTTTGGAATCTCTTATTGAATAAAATTGGTTGTGGTTTACTTGAACTGGTTCTTATACATATATTCAGATAGATATTCAAACGAATAGGATAAAAAGTTCTGCATTAGTTTTATTTTTGATATAGCACTGCAATGCAAAATTATAGATAATCGATCGTTTTTTTTTTTGTTAGAAAGAGTAAAATGTATAAAAGAATCTGATAGGTAATGTTGTACGAAGACTACAAGTTTCGTAACGTTAGAATAGGAGTCTGTTACTCTACCAAAAAAAAAACAGAAGTATTCTACATTTTTTACTACCCCCGAATGAAAATATAAAATATCTTTCATGTCAAGCTTAGTTTATTAAACGAAAAAAAAAAAACAAGTTTAATTATTACTCAATTACAATAGAAGTGAACTTCATATTATGAATCGATTGAAATTATGACAATCACTTAATGTAGGTTCTCCTTGGTGTGAATCTCCAATCGAACTGATCTTTCACTCATGTATATGACTCGTTGAGACTAAAAGAATTCATTCCCATGCGAAGTTCCTCTAAGGCTTTGCCTATAAATAGGTCCCACAGTCAGTAAACCATTCCGTAAGTTTCAGCTGAAATAGATGATTCCTAAAACTTTCCGAATGATTTAATGACTTTGACACCTGTTTATAGGCAAAGATTTTTCATTCGACTTTTCAGCTAATACCTAGTCGGAGGTCGAAAAATAGCTATAACTTTAGAAAAACTCTGCATGAGGATGAATTCTTCTAGTCTCAGCAAACCGCATACATGAGCGAGCGATGAACTTGATCAGTGATACATACTTAAGAACTTTCCTTCCATAGATAAAGAGTGAGTCAGAAATGTTGACTCGATTTCTATAATAAATTTTTCTAAAGTGAAACACGTGGTTGTAAATTGGTCTCTATTGATGAAAATATGCAGCAAAAGACATTCTATAAAATGACTATTGATTGAGCTCGCTAGCCCATCTAGGAAGAAAGTTATAAGTTTAGAAATATTCTTCACAAAAAATAAAAATTAACCATGACCGTTCTAGAACAAAAAAAAAAGTCGTAGACTAAATTTAATTGCAGTTTTAGTACTCAGTTCACTTACAAAATTACTTTAAACATATTATATAATTAATTATAGATGTCAAACATGCTTATTCTACAGGAACAGTGTCATAGGACTCATTCTTTCTTTTAAGAAAATGAATTTCACCTCGATGACAGCCAACATCACCGATGAATGACAATCTTTTGAAAATCCTTCTTCATTGTGTTGTGATGCATTAAGAAGAAAAATAAATCGAATATTAGAAATGAGAACTGAAAAAGATAGATCAAAATGTGGTGCACCAAGAACTATTCGAACGAAGCAGTTCAAAAAAACACCAGTAAAAAGATTAATAAATTTATAAAAAAAAAAAAGATCAAACTCAACGAAAAAGTGATATCTCATTTACAGTGGAAAAAACATTAAAAGTAAAAGAACATCAATTCGAAGGGTAATTGAAGAATTAAAATTGAAACCATTCAAACTTAGAAAAGCTGAAAAATTAACATCATTAAATAAACAACAATATGTTACTTGTGCGAAAAGATTAATACGAAAATTTGATGCAAGAAAAACTGTTCCCAATTAGCAATAGGCTGAAAATTATTAAAACTGATTTTTCGAGAATATTTACAATAAAAGATATTCAAAGTAGTAAAAATGATGTAGTTTATGCTGAAGATCCATCTGAAATTTCTATCGATCTAAGAGAATTCGTAAAGGTAAAATATCCAAATAATGTTATGTTTTGGGATAGGCTTTCTACAAAGAGTTTAATACAAAGTGATGGTTCTATTAATTTTACTGAATGATTACAAAATCAACATCAAAATGATAAACATAAAAGGACGTATATGACTGGAGAATTATAAATGTAAAGCTGTAATTTAATTTAGTCCATCAATTTTTGTGGAACTCACATATATTTTCGAAGAAAATAGTGAGAGTAAGTTTTAAGTTCAAGTTTTTGCGGCTCCTTCAACTCTCCTTCTCCATTACAGACACATAGCAATGTAGGTCCCCATTACTGACGTTAGACTTTCTAGTTTTTTTTTGTTTTGAAAAATTGATCAAGTTATAATTTTGAAAGATAATCAATGTCATTATTTGTGAGCTGATTAATATATAATAGTGCATAAGATCTGCTGTAGATATAGTGGATATGTAAAACAGATATATTTCCCAATTACTTCAATAATTATAATAATAAAAATGAAAGATAATGAGCGAATAACAACAATGCAAAAGAAAAATAGAGCGGTCTCAAACAAAAAAAATTTCTATTTTAAATGTAGACATAAATAACCAAATCTCGCTCTTGTCATTGATTATCAATGAAAAGAATTATAGTGTACATGAAATTTTTCAGTTTACATATGATGCATTAGAATATTAAGGTTTAAGGATATATATATAAGTTCCACATTTCAGCTTCAAAGAAGCTGCACTAAAAAGCTTTTTTTTTGTTCTAGAAGGGTCATGATTAATTTTTATGTTTTGTGAAGAATATTTCTAAGCTTATAACTTTCTTATTAGATGAGTTAGCGAGCTCAATCAATAGTTATTTTGTAGAGCGTCTTTTGCTGCATATTTTCATCATAGAAACAAATTTACAACCACGTGTTTCACTTTAGAAAAATTTATTATACAAATCGAGTCAATACTTCTGGCGTCCACTCTTTACAGTTGATTTCAACTAGCATTAATCATAAAATACTGATATTATATTTATATTTCCATAATTTAACAATTTCCAATTGAAACTTATTAGAAAATATAAAACTAACCTGACAATCAAGAATAAGTTTTTCATAATCATGCATAGGTTGTTTAACATTATTTTGAATTTGTTCTTCTATATTTCGTATATTTTTTATTAATATATCAATATTATTAATAGTATGATCAATATTTGTTTTTATTAGTTGATTATTTTTTCGAATATCATCAATTTGTTTTTTTATTTTAACAAAACGTTTTTGTAAATATTCTATACGTTGTTTATTATCATTAATTAAATTATCTGATAGATTTGGTCGATTTTCTATTTGTTGAATAAGTTTCTAATAGAGAACAAAAAAAAAATTTTTTTTTTTTTTTTTTCATAGAAAAAATACAAAACCTTTAATTTCATTTGATTATTTTCATTTTGTTGATATTGAAGAAAATTTTCTTCTAATTCGTTTAGATATTTTTCAAAATCATCAATATTTTTCAATATATCATCATTTGTTAATGGTACTACAATATGATTTCTTTGTTGTTCATTTAACCATTGACGAATTTGACTTGTCATTTCTTTTGGATATTTATCAATTAATGTTATTATTTCATTAGTAGCTGTTATAGCATTATTTTCTGTATGAAAATGAGTAACAAAATTTATACGAAGATGATCTATATGAGATGTATCGATTAACATTTGTTGCAGTATTAATTGCCGATTGGCAAGTTCATTATATGCTATGCAAAGAAACGATAATAAAACGAGAAGAAGAATAAATATAAATATTTATACATACTTGCATCAGATAGAATTGAGTTCAAATCAGATACTTGTAAATCTTTATAATGTGTTAAAAAAGACTATTTAAAAGAAAAAGAATTTATATAGGACAAAAAAAGAAAAGAATCATATTTTATTTTACTTGAATGTTATGTTTATGTTGTTCAATTTCTTGACGATTTCCTAATTGTACAATAGTATTTAATAAATTTTGTGCTTGTTCAAGTAAATTATGTTGATTTTCAATTGCACATGATGATGATGATGATAACAATGGTATTGCCGAAGGCAATTGCGTAGTCACTATATTCGAAGAGTCAGTGACTATAACAAAAGAGGAAAAGAAAAGAAAAGAAAAGAAGGTGAATATAAAAAAGAAAAAAAAAAAAAGGGACGAGAACGTACGACAACTTTACAATGTCTACAATTTATGAAGAGGAAATGTGTAAGAAGGTGAACTATTACTCTGTAATGATGTAAAAAGAAAAAAATTGAGAATAGAGAGAACAGAAACCTCAAGTTATATGTGTTCACTCAATAGATGAAAGAATAAGAGAAAACGAGATCATCATTATGAATACACCTCAAGCTATGTATATGTATATGTACATGTTATACATATATATACATTCAACTGATCAGTGAAACGTTGTTTATAGTAATATGTATTTATTGTAATATCAGTTGCTGTGTATCATCAAAAACTCATCGAAAGACAATTTGTTACTGCGTTCACGAATCATTGACAACAGTTTATTTTCTCTCTCTATTAAAACATGAGTTGATTTTTCTTCGAGAGGTTACTAATAAGATCTACTTAAAATAAAAACATGGAAATAAGGACATACTCAAGTATTAGTGTTTAACTTCCTGTACTAGACAAGTAAGCATTGAAGAATATGACGAAAAGACTAGAGAAGAAAAAAATTCAATTATATGTTTGCCCCTTTGTCTCTCTTTCTCTTTCTCTCTCTCGCTTTTCCCTGGTGTAGTATGCCTGGTCTCTTTTAATATGTGTTAGTCATAAATTTTCTTCTAAGATTATAATTAGTAACCATCGCCAGATTCAATAGAAACAAGACATTGGATAAAAAAAAAAGGAGAAGGATGAAATATAGTACATAGGACATGAATTGAAGTTGTATATCAATAAGAAAGAAAGAAAAAAAATCATCATGAGATTTCTTAGTTGATCTCTATTTGCTATCAATGAGGTGATGATTAAACTAAGTGAATTAACTAAATGCAGATGGTTATGAAATTATAGTTGATGAGTGTTTGACTTAAACGAAGCTGAAGAGAAAAGTTTCTCTTACATCATCATCATCAAACTTACTCATTGATGATAATTTAGTCCACATATGAATTAAATATTGAATTTTTTCTTTTATTTCAAAATCATTTTGTTGATTATATTTAATTAATTCATCAAAATATTTCTGTCGTTCATTTAAAACTAATTGAATTGTCTATGATCAAACAAATATTTATGACACAAATTTATTCTTTTTTTTTACTTGATTATCCATTGTTTTAGATTCATCTGTAAATTTTTTCAACCAGTCAATAAATGAATCTAATTCTAAAAGAAATCTACATTGTTGTTCAGTATAATTTTCCAATTGAATATGAATTGTTGTAATTGATGTAGCAAGCTATAATAATTATAGTATAGAGAAAAAAAAAAAGATGATAGTAAAAATTTACTGTTGTTAATTGTTCAATTAATGAATGATTAATTTCTTCTGTTGTTGTTGTTGTATTATCAAGTAAATTTTTTACACGATTTATTTCTGCTTCACATTCCTTTAAAATAAAATGAAAAAAAAGTATAAAAATTTTAAATATTATTTTTTTTTCCTATTTAAACAAACTTTAATTTGAGAAAGAAATTGATTATTATCAGATAAAGTATTAACTTTGATTTTTTCTTGTTGATTAATTAATTGTGTGCCTAATGCTAACAAATTTTCAATAGATTGAACTAAAATTTGATTTTCTTTTGTTAAATAATTCGAAACGTGAGGATTCATTAAATTAACTGATTCGGATGATGAATTTCTAACAAAAAAAAAACAAAAGACTATTATTATTCAATTTAGATAATAATATTCATCGAAACACTTATCAAGATTTCTTTTTTTTTTAAAGACTATAGAAATACAATAATTCGTATATAATAAAATTATTTAAATTGAAAAAGAATGGCTCATTAAATTTTTTTCCGGTAACATAAAGACGATAAAATCGATATTTTCTTTTTTTTTTTTTTTGAAAACAATTTTAGACACTATAATAACCTTTCATTAAATATATTTAATCTGTCAATAAGTATTTGCCATTGTTCTTTGATATGAATAATTTCATTCATCATCTCTTGTGCTTGTATGTCTGGTAAATCTACAGCCATTGTTTGATAGAGTATTGTAGCACGTTCTAACAATAATTTATACTTGTTTAATTCATCAAGATTCTATTTGATAGCAAAAAAAAAAAAAAAAAAAAGAAAGAAATTTATTTGTTCAATCGTGCATGTTGATAACGACATTAATATTTACTACTAGTAACAAATTATAAATTCTTTATATTAAAGATTTAATCCTTTTGATTGGAATGATTCTTTTTATAGAAGCAAAAATATTGAAGTATTCTAATTTGTAATTAAAATGATTTAATTTATTCAGATTAATCAAACTGATTCATTTACTATTCTCGTATATAAAAGTCATAGACGATTTAGTATGTAAAAACAAAATATAAAGGATAGAATAGTATTATGGTTATAGAAATGACTCATGCAACGAATAGATCCCATTAATTTATTAAAATACTATGTTAACTTAAACAGTGATATATTGAAAATTTTTATTGGTTAGCACAGTAGAGATAGAAAATCATGTTTATCAATCAAAATTTGAAGTTGCCTTGATTTTTAATGATAAAAGAAAAGATATTCAGACAAATCTATTGATTTCACATTTATTTTCTCTATTGTATTTATTTATCTATCCTCTTCTGTCATTTCCTTATTCTCTATCATAGAACGGATCTCTTTGATAATGAATAAAAAAAAAAAGGAAACAAGATTGATTCAATATATAATACTCTTGTCTTATTCAAGAATAATCCATACTTTAATAATAGATAATGTTTGTTGTTTATTGACTGATTGTAAAACTTGTTGAAGATTAGTATTTGTTGATGTTAACCAAACAGATAAATCTTCTATTGATTGTTTGTATTCTTTAAAAATAACCGTATTAACCATTGTAAGACTATAATGTTTTTTATAATCATTATACAAACGTAAATATTCGTTAGACAAATGTTTGACAAGCGTTGATGTTGGATGCAATTGACTTGCTGTCTCAATAGCTGGTGTAAGACTGATAATAGTATCTTTTATAGCCTATAAAATACCAATATTCTTCTATAACATCTACTAAGAACAAAAAAAAAAAAAAAAAGAAAAGATGCAATACTATATGAACGATTTCCTTCATCCTTTTATTATGCTTTTTTTTTCTCTTCATCATTTTTTTTTTGTTTTCACCCTAAGGGCTGAAGAAAAGGATGAAGTTCTCCTTTTCTAATGGAAATCGAACACACAATGGCTACTATATTTTAACTTGTATACGCATCGGCGTTCTGGGAGTAATCAATTGTAGAGGCAAGGAAAAAAAAAGAATATCATTTATAAACTATCACGGAATACACAAATGATAGATTATTTAAATATGTAAGATGGAAAACTTTGTTAGATATTTTGTTTTTGATCTTTATCTATGTTATCACATAAGCAAATCTTGTATGAATAAATAATTATTTAGAAGTAATTTACGTATTTTTTGTGTTTTTGTATTACTTACTTTAAGTTTTTTAATTTGTATTGATGTATTTTGTTCTATATCATTAAGATTTAATAGATATTTACGTAAAGTTGATATAGATGATAATAATTTTTGAATACATAAGATAAAATCATATGGTTGATCTTCTATTTTCTTCATTTTCTTAGATTTAGAATATCAATAAGAACAAATACTTTGTAGTGTAAGACAATGCTATGAAAGATTTTGTTGTATGTTTAGCTTACTAAAGAACAATAATAGAATATGTAAGAGACAAGCAATTATTTTAGGTCCTAATTGTCGCTTCTATGTCAATAGTAAAGAAAAAGAAAAAGACTGGATTAATTGTTTTGATAGTACAGATGCTGATTTGATCAATCTTTTTTTGTATTGTTTTTTTTTTCTTCTTCTAGTGTTAACACTTATCTTTTAGCATTCTTAATAGGCATATGACTTTTTTTTTTTGTCAATGATAAATAAACGTCATATGCATGAATTAGTTTGTATAGAAGAATTAGGTGTAATCATAATGTTTTATTTCCTTATAGTAAATACTTATATATTTTATTAAAGAGAATGAGGAAAAAAAAAAGAAAAAAAAAATTCGAATCGTACTAGTACAAAGTTTCGAACAAATGAAGAAATAGAAATGTTTTGTTTTTTTTTTGTTTTTGTTTTTGTTAATATTTTAATAAAAGAACCACTGCGCATTAACACCGACATTTAAAAATTAGTCGAGAAAAAAAAAAGAAAAGAAAAAGAAAAAAAAACGCATGTATACGCACAGCAAACATATTTTTTTCTTTCTACTAGTAGAGAATATATAGATAGGATGAACTCATTTGTTATTATTTTTTTTAATAAACAATACGTGTTGGATGTGGTCCAACATTATGAGTTCCATAAGATTGTTGACGATAACTACTGGATCGTCCTCCTCCTCCGCCTCCTCCTCCTGCTTGTTGTTCATTATAAAAATATGTCGGATATTGTTCATGTCTATAACCATTTGCTTGTCGATAACTAGCTGAAGTACCATTTGTTGTTTCATAACGAACAGGTAATGATCGATGATGTGTTTGTGTTTGTGTTTGTCCATATGTAGCAGCTGATTTTGTTTGCATTGCACCACTTGATTCTTGTTGTTGTTGTTGTTGATGTTGTTGTCGATGTGAATCACCACGTGATGCACTACGTTCAGCTACATGTCGATCAATAACACGTTCACGATATATAACTGGTTGTTGAGGAATATAATTTTGTACTACACATCCTTGTACAGGAAAACCACCATTTGGCATACTAGCAGATTTTGATATTGAACTATGATGACAACTATCATGATATCCTTGTTGATTCATATGTTGCTTTTTATAATAAGCATTTGGACGTTCATAAGAACGATAACGTGTTTGTAATATAGGTGATGATGGTGCACTTATTGTATGATGATCAATTGCTTTTAAACTACGTACACGTAATAATGGTTGTAAATGATATTCTTCATTTATTGGAACATAACGAGATTGATCATCAGTTTTATAACGATCAAGTGAATGAACGGCTTTACGATATTTTGTACTATATTGTGGTGCTGGTTCACTTAAAATTGAACGTGTATCATCAATATCATAAATAAAATCGGAATCGAATTCCTGCATTGGAAATAGAAAAAAGAAAAAGATTTGAAGTTTGTATGTAAAAAAAAAAAAAATTACATGAATATGTCAACGAAACAAACATTTATATTGAGATTAAATATTCAGGGTTTTTTTCTTTTTTTTGTAGATAAATGTTTGAAAGAACAAGGACAATATCAAAAGAATTTTATTCAGTCAAATTTATTCACTAAAGATATGACATGTACCTATTCCTTTTTCCTTTCGTATGTCACTATTATAGTATAATTAAAGAGCTTAGTTTTTGAATATATATGAAAAGATTTGAAAAAAAAAAAAGAAATGATTTCGATTTCCCAATTATACTATTCTCTAGGTAAATCTCGATTTTATGAATAGATCAATGGTTGAAACATGTCGAAGTTTTTATTAGAGTCAGTTTACAAAATTTCAGTAATTTTACTAGATGATGAATTTCGAGCTTCTCACCTGTATATGTGTATTTCTTTTCTTTATCCCTTTTGTTTATCTTTATGTATACTAAACATGTAGGATTTATTTTTCTCTTTGATATCGTATGATTTGTCTTGTGTGAGATGGATTAATTTCAAAATATTGTTATATATATATATATATATGATGTCTAACATTTAATTATGAAAATAACTTGTCATATTTTTTTTATAAACAATCGAAATAAATATCAAGCCCCTAAAGAAGTAATCCAAATGTCTTTTTATTCTTTTTTTTGTTGTCTAGATTACTTTTGTGATATGACTACAAAATGAAGAATATCGATAATCAATTGTTTCTGCAGAAATAGATTCCAATGAAAAGTAGTTTTTATTCTAACAACCTTGAATGATAAGAAAGGCAAGATTTGCTTATTATAATATCAACACTTTATCTATAATGTTCATTTTTTAGTTTTTTTTTGTTCAATAAAAAATGTACAATATTCTTTAAAACACAAACATGATTATAAATCTATGGATGATTTATAAATTTCTTTACACTCGGTCAAAATATCCCGATGATTCTTCTTCTCTCTAACTTTAGTAGACTTGCTCACATACAGAATAAATTGTATCTGTTCGTCAGGATTCTCATTCCTGAGCGTTTCGTTCTCAAGGAATGAGAATTATCATGACCGAGTGGCTACGTTATTCGGCATTGGTACTACCAGCCTGAAAAGTCACTAATTGCTGTTCGCCTCGCATGACCTTCCGATAGTGTGTTAACTGCGTTACGACATACACCTACTCTTGTAGTTAATTATTATATATGACGATGGCAAGAACTATGTGTCATGCTGGCCTTCTATGCAGAGCTACAGCTAGTCATAGTTGTAAGGTAGATATTGAATCTGTCGCTACCGAAAGGCAAGAATATTCTTCTTCGTTCTTAAGGAATGAAGCCGTATCTTAAATTGTTCTTGTGGGATTTTTGATTTTTCTCATCATTGATGTTAATGATTATGATTTTTTTCGTATTGATATAAATGAAATTTAAAATATTTATCATACCCGTTCTCTTGGTACTGTTCTATCTGTTGTTTGAACACGTTCTTCAAATCGTTCATTATATCGATGAATTTCATCTGCATTTTGATATTGATTTGAACGATATTTAAGATTTTCCAAACAATCCTAATATAAAAATATTTTGTTATTTAATAAGTAAAAAAACAAAAAACAAAAATCTAAATTAAATTTTACTCTTAATCGACGAATTTTTTCTCTTATACGATTAGCTTGTTCAACATCAGTTTTTTCAATAACATAAGCACGTTCTTCTGTTTCACGTATAATTTTTTCTATTTCTTCATATTCTGGACGTTCACGAATTGTTCGTTCCTATAATAATAATTTTCAATTATATTTATTAAATAGTTAATAAAAACAAGTAATACTCGTCTAGATAAACGTCGATGCATTGTTTCAGAATCTTCATCACTTTCTTGTTGATTTTCATATAAACGTTCAATTAATTTCATATAAGCCAAACAACGTAAATATTTCTTTTTAAATTCTTCATCAATAACACCATGTGTTGTACTTATATCCGATGATTCTGATGGTGAACGATGACGAGCTTCACGTTGAATACGATTATATCTTTTTTCAGAATAATATTCTCGATGTGTATCATCACGATGATCATCTTGAATATTAGTTGCTACTACTGGTATTGTTGTTGTTGTTGTTGTTGTCGCTGTTGTTGTCATTTGTTGATCTCTTAAACGTTTTTCTTGTGTATCCTAAAAACAAAAAAAAAGAAAAATATTTCTATGAATAGAAAATTAAAAATCAAACCTGAATAATTCGAATACGACGTTGTAATTCTTCAAATTTTCTTGTAATATTTTCAATATCAGGTGCAACAAGTTTGCTATATTTTTCACTTTTTGATACAAGTTCTTGACCAAGATTAAGTAATTCATCAAGTTGTGTTCGAACACTACGTAATTCATCTTGAACTTGCTGAAAGAAATATATAGATCATTAAATTTTATTCTAAGTTTTTAAAAGAATTCTATTAAATAAGATAATTATTCTTCATTGGAAAAATCATCTAGAGTAACTCGGTAGTACATTGAATGGTATATAGGAAATCGGGTTTTTTTTTTTTAATATTCTAAGAAGTCTAAAGAGATATTATAGTAATTGTGTGTGATATGGACTTAATATTAGGATGTAGTATGTGTTCTGTCCTCTAAATTGATGTGCGTCATGGTCAAATCCGTCAATCAATGTCTAAAAAACAGTCAACTTTTCGATTTCGAAGGATAGAAAAGTATATAAGATCTATAATAAACATTTTTTTGAGTGAGAAAATTTTTATCTATGAATAATAAATTCATTATATCCTATCATTTGACATAGATAGATCTTTCGGAAAATGGTAAACAAACATTTTTCACTTTCAGATCTTTGAATGGAATACGATGATGAACTATTATAAAGATTAATTTTTATTTTTGTTTTATTCTTTACGAATCGAATGTGATTGAAGTTCTCTATTAGATTCAATATACCTTCAATCTCTTATGAGAATTAAGAATTTTGGAAAATTCTCTTATCTCCCTTCAAGAAACATAGAAGAGAGTAAAAACTTTTCTACCATCTTTGGGGAAATCTATATATGTCAAATGATAGGTCATGATGAACTTATTATGAATAGAAATCGCAAAAAGTCATATACTTTTCTGTCCTTAGAAATCGAAAAATTGACCTTTTTTAGATATGAATTGACCATGACGTACATCAATTCAGAGGACAGAAGACATACTAACTCTCAATAATCTGATCATATCATTAACAATTGCTATAACATCTCTTGACTGTTATATAATTTCTCAGAATATAAAAAAGGAGAAAATAATTTTCTATACACCATTTGATACGTTAGAAGTTACTCTACATAATAGAATAGGTGATTTTTCAAATGAAGATTTAATCATTCTATTCGATAGAGTTATTTTATTTTATTTTTCTACTAACCGAAATTCTATTCAAATCAAGAATACGTTCAGCATCAGATAATAATGATTCTAATTTTTCCAAACGTATAATTATTTCTTGATAAATATGAATAAATTTTTGATAATCATCTTCTAATTTACGTACTTGACCCTAAATAACACGAAAAAAACAATATATATATATATATATATATTAAAATATCTGTTTGTTTTTTTTTGTATCATTTTTTTTTCAAATTCAGACAAAAATTAATTCAATTCATACTTAAATAATAATACCTGACGTAGACCAATAGGATATATAATATATTCAATAGGGGTAAGATTTGTTGTTGATGCCGATACATCTGACGATGCATTATATCCAGATTCAAATGGAATATAAAGTAAATTATGATAACGATGTGATGGTTCAGAATGTGATGACGTCGAAAGTTTGACGTCAGTCCTCATTCTGTCTTAATCTTTTTTCTTATTCTGAAGATGACAATGAAATATAGAACTATATTAATAAGTAGAAAGAAAAAAATAATAGAGAGAAAAACATCTAACCATCCTACAAAATAATTTAGCTACGAACCACCTATATATATCTATTGTCCTTTTCTTTCTTCGCTATTCATTAGTGATGATAATGATAGATAGAAAAAAAGAGAGATATCTATTTGACTCGTTCATGGTATATATATATATATCTATACATATAAGACAAACAGAACTGATTGATGACAATGATGATGAAGTCCACAAGTTATAAATAGAAAGTTATAGCATTCTTTTTCTTCTAACAGAAGTTTGTTAATAAATACAATGAATGAGGTGAAGTTTAAGAAAATAGTTTGATGTAATTAGCATGATGCCTTCTAAGTTAGATCACTGCTATAATGTCTACAAATTATTATCCTCTTCTTTTATAATAACCATAATGATAATAATAATAATAATAATAATAATAATAATAAAACATCGCGCGATATATAGGAAGAAAATGTATATAGGATTGTATATAAGTAAGAAACGAAGACACAGTAATATTTTTGGAAGACAAACACAGATAGTACGTGCGGTTTTTTTGTTTTTTATGTTAACACTAATAGATGGGGAATTACTGACAAAAAAATGCCAGAAAGAAAAGAACGGACAAACGAGTATATTATCAAGTAAGAAAGAATCGAGAAAACTAAGAACAGCGATGTAAAAATGGTACAAAGAAAATAGTACGACTTCTTTGAGATAACATAAATGCGCGAGCTTACCGCCCGTTATGTTCTTTGTCCGTCAGTGAGTGACATGCGCAGGCGTATATTCATAGAAACTAATTTCCTCTATACTCGGCGCTACGTTTAATTATATTGAAGGGTGCACATCTTAGTCGACGTTCGGGCACACGTAATAGTCTCGTCTATATTTTTCTTTTATATATTTTTTTTTTGTTGTGCATACAAATAAATCATCTAATATGATCGATTGGATATTTCTTTCCTCTTTGTCTAATTATGCCATTATTAAAAAAAAAAAGAAGAAGAAGAAGGAAGTCATGATGCAAATTAAGATTGATATAATAAGCAGCTGTTTTGCTCATCTATTCATATCATATTATCTAAGATAGACTATAAAGAACGATGAGTTAATTGTTGTATGAAGAATCGGTCAACTGCATAATTATTATATTATCAAAAGATCTTTTTTTCTTCGACACTACAAAGATTTATACAATCATAGTAGTATCACATATGGTCAGCACTTGCATCGATTACGTCAATAAATGCAAAATGTGTTATCCGAATCGATGACAACTGTAGATTATATAATACACTCTCTTATTTCTTTATATATATATATATAATCCAATCATTTTATCGAAGGTTATCCACTAGTGTATAGGATATCATCTCTATGACATTGGTTTTTTTTCTTCTTTGTTTCTATTATCTAATAATGAAAGTCAAAGGAACTTGTTTTTTACTTCAATAATTTCTGATCGATCTTTAAGTCGTCGATCTAATTGTTCAATTTGTCGTTTTAATTCTATGATTCTATCATGAATTGTAGTTAATGGTCGATCAACTTCTTTTTGTATTGTACGTTCTAAATTTTTTAATGTTTCAAAATTATTTTCAAGTTTTCTAATATCATTTCGTGTTGTCTAGAAAAAGAAAATATATAAAACAATAAAATAAAATTCAACTTTAAAAATAAAAAAAAAAAGCAATTACTCGAATCCAATCATTTTCTTCTTTGGTATTTTTTGATATTTGTTTATTTTCAATTTTACGTATTTCACTATCAGCTTTAACAAACCATTCATGAATATGTGAATATTCTTTACGAAATTTACGTAAATGACGTTCAACATTATCTAATTGAGCTTTTGATGCTGATACCTATAATGAAGAGATATTTCTTTAATTCTTTCGTTTTCGTCTAAGAGCATTTCAGTGTACTAAAGAGGCTATGCTAAAATTTTCAACTCTATACGATGACATTTTTTGGCAGATATTCAACAAACCAAGGATCAAAAATTCTCTGTAGATTCTCTTTCTACAGATTTATTTGAAAGAGTATGTCAGACTGTAATGCTTGATAGAGTCTGTTGCTTTTAAATTCTTAATTTTTACACCAAGGAAAAGGCTGACAAGTTCAATACCTTGAAATAATGGTCATCGTATTTATACACACTACAATAAAATATTTCACAGGCTCTCTCACGAAAATGTGTCGTATTATGAATTTGTCGCGTTCTGTCTGCTGACTGTTTTGTTTTGCACATTATAACTACATATAGACAACTCGATTGATGAACATGAAACACTTGTCAGAGATGTCCATCGGGGCTGAAAATCTGCTGCGGCCTTAGGAAAAGAAGCAGCCGCACCGCTGACGCGACGAATAATAAAATAAACGTGCCGCCGCTGCACCGCTGTCACGGCGGTTCTCAAAAAGTGTTTCTAATTCCACTGCTGCGACTATATTTGACCAGAGACATTGGCATTAGTCCATCAGATTCATTCAGTCTCGGGGTGTTTCATTTGTAAATCCTGAAATTCTATTAAATTCATGCAGTTTTTCAATATTCTCCAAAAAAAATCCTGCCGTTGTCGCCACCACCACCGAGGCAGCGGTAGCGCCGCGATGGACATCTCTGACACTTGTATTTTCGTGTGTTTTTTTTTCTAGATTATTTCTCGATTAGTTATTAGTCAAGTACATGCCGATTTCGATCAATGATCGAGATCGGATCAACTCGAGACAGACAGATCTCAAAATCTAACCAGCTTGAATTTTCAGAATAGGAATAATTAAATTGAAAAAAAAACAAATTCCATCATTTGCGTTCACAGAAAAAAATGTACTGTATACTAGATTTGAACCATGTTTTCAGAATGTGTCGCAAAGTACGATACATTATATTTTAGTGTGAGAAGTGCTTTTTTATAGAGAGTGAGTCATAAATATCTTTACAATAAAAAATTTGAATATCTCTATTTTATTTCAATCAATTGGGCTGATATTTTTCTTGGTGACAGAGGACTCTTCGAAGTTTTTATCCATAAGAAGATCATCAATAGATGCTATTTTGAACTGGTACTATTGACTTCAATCAAGAAATATACTATTAGCGAAAAGGATCTTATCTTAAGATCTCAGCCGTTCTTATGGCTAGAAGTCTGAAATTTTTAGCACATATACGATCTTAGAAATGCAGGTCAATAACACCAGTCCGGTCTCGATCGGTTGAATTTTATGATTCAGCCAACCTATTATTATGTAAAGTAATCACAGCATTTGAGAGCATAGATGACAGTACTGTCGGGCTACATAATGATAGGGTGGCCGAGTCATAAAATCCTTTCCTTTCCGAGTTACAGAGCTCACGGTCAGAAGATTTGTCATAGATCATAACTCTCCTTCAACTCAAATGATCAAGACCAAGCTGATATCGTTGATCTGCATTTCTAATGTAATATATATGCTAAAAATTTCAGCCTTCTAGCCATAAGAATGACCGAGATCGCAGGATAAGATCCTTTTCACTAATAGGATATTTCTTGATTGGAGTCAAAGTATCTATTGATGGTTTTCTTATAAATAAAAACATTGAAGAGTCCTCTATCACCGAGAAAAAAAAATCAGCCAGATTGATTGAAGCAGAGTAGAGATTCTTTGCTCTCATGCATTTATCTTAATATCGATAATTCTAACGAAAATGAACTTTTTTTTTTTTTCAAAGAAGAAAGGCAGGATTTAATTCTTACTTTTGCTCCAAGAGTATTATATTGTGTTTTTAATTTATCGATTTGTCTTGTTAAATCATTTGGTTCATCAATTTGTCTTTTTTCAACAATTCCACGTCCTGTACGAATGACATATTCAACTTCAGATTTAATATCTGATAAAGTTTTATAAAGTTTCTATTAAACAGAAAAAAAAAAAATAAGAAACTTGTTTGTTTGTTTTTTTTTTTGTTCTTAATTTAATTTACTAGACAAGTTTCTAATTGATTATGAATAATATCAGGATCATCAGAATGAATTTCAAGCATATGAATATTTTGTTCAACATCATTTAAAATTTGACGCATTTTTGCATGTTTTGGTTCAAAATCGGATGGTTTTTGAAAATGTCGAAATTTAGCTTGTAATTGTAAAAATTGATTCTTAAATATATAATGAAAAAAACAAAAAGAAAATAATTATAATAAAATTTTACAAAACAAAAAAAAAAAAAGAAAAATTTACTCTTAAAAGAATTAATTGTTGTTCAAGTCTTTTAGCAGCTTCAGTTTTGCCTGTACTTCTTAATACATGTACTTTATCATCTATACTACGTAAAAATGCTTCATATTGATTAAATTCAATAATTAATTTCTATAAATAAAAAAAAACAAAGTTTCGATTTATGATAAGTTCTATAAATATATATGTTACTTCAGCTTCTCCGGGTACATCATCTGCATAAACATCATCTTTTAATCTAGCATGAAGTGTATTATCTGTATGTTTCATCCATTCAAACATTGCTGTTATTTGATGTCCCATATGTTGATAATCGGATATTTGTGAATTAAGTGTATGAATTTTTTTATAAGCCTATAAAAGAAAAAATTCTTTTTTTTTTTTTATTTTAAATAATTTTCTACATCATCATGTAATTGTTCCCAACGAATACGAAATTGATTTATTAGACTATTTGTTGCTGGTAATGAAACTTTTGTTGCTTGAAGACGATCTGATATTTCAAAGATTTTATCATGACTACTTTTTGAATGAGTTTTAACAAAACGTTCAAGAGTCTAGAATAAATAAATTATTATAAAAATTGAAAATTTCTATAATAAACATTTACATCAAGTTCTTCAGAAATTTCTTCTGCATCAGCACCATCATTCGATGATGAAAAAACTTTATTTTGTAATGTATCAAGCCAAACATTTTCTTGATGAAGTAAATCTACAAAAAGAAAAAAAAAGAATTTTATTAATTAAATAAACAAATTATTACTTTTTAATTCTTCATGTAATGTATAAATATCTGTATAAAAAACAACTTTTGTATCAACTTTTTTTTGTAAATTTGACCAATTTGAAACAAGTGTTTCTAAACTTTGAGCTAATTCAGGTGCTCCAGATAAATCTTGACGACCTTGAAGAACTAAATTTCGTACAATATTTTCTTTAAGATTAAGTTCTGTTTGAAGTTTCTATTACGAAGAAAAAAAAAAAAAAAGACAGAAGAAGATAAATATAAAAAAGAAATTTTTTTTTTTTACTTGATATTGCTCAAGTCGTTCACGAATTTGATCTTGATAAAATATTGGTCCATCATCAGCAGGTGCTTCATGTTCTTTATCCATAATCCATTCTTCTAATTCTTGAATTTCTTCATGTAAAACTTTATTACGTTTTAATGCATCCTAAGAAGAAAAAAAAAGGAAAGCATATTTGGATTTCGTGAGTTCTGAATTCATGGAAAAATCAACCCAAGCATCCTATTTCAAATGCTAGAAGTTTCGGGTTGGTTTTAAAATGTAGCCAAAATCTGGTGCTACAACGTAACTGGACCCGATTTTCTTCTAGCTTGTGTTCCTAGAAAACTTCTCGGATGAAATACGGACAACATAAGTGAGGGGGGGGGGGGAGGTCCAGAATGGTTAGTTTTTTATAAACATGAATAGAAAAATTGAAGAATCTGGCTCTGTTAAGTTATAGAGCTAATTTTTGCCTTCATTTTGACACCAAGCCTAGCTGTCTAGAGTTTGAAATAACGGAGAAATCTGGGATGCACGGAAACGTAAAAATTAAAATTTTTCAGAAAAAAAAATGTTATTTTCCTTTGTATGAGGGTTCAGAAAAACCTATGTAATATCTTTAAATTTCATCATAGGATCAATAAATTTGACTAAAATTGGTTTATTTCTATTGATATATTTAGATCCTTTCAATAACTAAATCAATGTTTTCTATACATTAAACTTCTTTGCTATGAATATTAGAAAATAAATTTTTCTTCAATCTAGTTCCGATATTCAATTTCGAGAACTATCCAATTAGTTCTGATATTGTCGAATATATATATTTTTTTGAATATCATTGATTTTCTTTTAGAATTCCTTAGTCTTTCAGTTCAATTGTATTATTTTTCTAACCTGAATATTTTGTGAAAAAATTTTTGTTGAACTTATAATATGACTCCAACTTTCATTTAATTCTTTCATTTGTTCACGTAAATGTCGACCTAAATTTTCATCAGCATCTTGTGTTAAATCAACAACATCTTTATTTAAACGATTAATTGTTGTTTGCATTTCACGAATTTCATGTTGAAGAACCTTAAGTAAAATTGTCGTTTTTTTTTTTTGTTTTTGTTTAAATTTTATATAATAAAATTTACTTGACTACGACCAAGTTGATTTTCAAGTGCACGTGAATCAGTATATGAAGTATCGGTTGTATTCAAACGTGGTTGAACATTACGTATCCAAATTTTAACTTCATCAATACCTCTCTTTGAATTAAAAGAAAAATAAAGAATATTGTTTTCAAAAAACAAAAATTATTTTTTTAATATAATTCTTACTTCAAAATCAGCTAATGTTTTATCAACTCGATTATATTTAGCTAAACGTTCACTTAAAAACATTTTAATATCATATAATCGATCTTGATAATTAGTTAATTCTTCTTGTAAACGTCGACTTATATCAATTGGTAATTTTGAATAAGATTCTCTTGCAATTACATTTAATTCTTCCATTATATGTTCACGTTCTAATGTTTGATCAAGTAAATCTTTATAAATTTTCTTTTTTGCATCAATTGCTTGTAAATCACCAAAACGAACTTTATCATTTAATAATGTTTGTTCAATTTGTTCAAGCCATTGACGTAATTTACGTTGTGTATCATTAAAATTCATTGGTAATGATGATAAATTATCAATTGTAGTCGAATTTCCAACATCATCTATTTAAATAAAAATAAAATAATTTTTTATTTTATTATATTGTAAATGAATATTATGTGAAAAAGATTTAACTAGAACTTAGAATAGTTTATTTTCATAATTTTTAACCAAAAAAAAAGATTTTGCAGAAACGGAAAAGTGATTTTTAGAAACCCTGAAAAACTAATGTTCACGTCAGAATTAAAGAAAAGTGAATGTAACTTTAATTAATTCGATACCGACAATACTATTCAGTTAAATTTTGTAAATATGATAGATTTTTAAAATAATAATATTGCTATTATTTAGCTTAAATCCACTCCTCTGTAATTCTGATGTGAATATTAGATATATATTTTAATATAAATATTCTAATTAAAGTTCTTATTTTTCAAGAATTCAATTAATTAAAGAAGATCTTCTTTTACGAGAAGAAATTTCCTCAAATAGAACCTTGTTCAAAATATCAAACTCAAGAACAATCTTCAAACTATTAAATCGCTATTGAGTCGAGACTATGTGCATTATATAGACCCAAATGACATATTAATATTCTGAAAAGAGTTCGTGCTTTAGGTTTATTGAGTGTAGAGATACTGCACGTTTACAGTATTTTATGAAACACAATCAAAAAGAAATGTTGAAATATACAGAGTAGAAATAACCACCTCCCACATGCTGTGACAGATGTTGTTGATATACAATCACAAACAGTATATCAATAACAACTCGTTATAATCTATATTTACTATTTCCTTATTATATTTCTAGAGAATTAAAAAGGAGAGTAAAACAAAAAAAAAATGTATCCCAAAATAGAACGAATAAAACAATCTTTCTGTCATTAGCAATACTAACTACATAATGTTTCATATTTTAATTCTACAGGGATTGCGTTAATGACATTTTTCTTTTTGAATGAATGTCAGGGTAATCGCAAAAATTGATTTTCGACGTAAAATTTTGCATAGAGACAGACTTTGATGAAAATAGTTTTTTTTTTTTGTAAATATCTCAAATCTTAATCGCTATTTCTATCCTAAAATACAATTATAATAATATTGTATTTTTGATATCATTCATATAAATCGATAGATTTTATGTTCTTATTTCAGTTTTTCTGTTATCATGGCATTCATTTAAAAAATAATGTAAATATGCAATATCTCCGTAGCAATAAACTACGAGCACGAAGTTTCTTTCTTTTTATTCTCGTTAATTGATTTTATCATATATTGATTTTGAGAGATTTCTCATTAATTTATGAATTGAAACGTTTTTTCTTTTGTTTTATGTCAATCAAAAGATTGTTTTTGTAAGACATTTTTTGCAGCACATTATTAACACTATCCATGTTTATAGATAAAACATTTAAGAGAGGAATGTTAGAACAGATTGTATCTATCTTAATAGATATAACACATATAGAAAAAGAAAAAAGGTCAATTGACAAATATGTGTGACAAAAGAGTTTAGTTTGTAACTGAATGTTTTTATAATGGACATAATGTGAAAGGCCAAAGAACGAAAGAAGAAAAATATTTAGAAGAATAAAAAAATATGTCTATTAGGACTAAACTATTTTATCTATGTCAGATTGAATTCGACATTTTAGATTTGATGCATACCTATTATTAAAATCTATATTCTAACAAATAGACTTAATTGATCTATGTCAAATAATATCATAATTACAACAACAAAAAAAAAGAAATCTCTTTCGTTTCTTTTTTCGTCTTTGATAATATCTCAATATTGAATATGTTCTAAATTAGTTTCAATTAATATCTTTCATATATTTAATTTATTAAAATATCCTTATAATAGAGAAATTATTCTTATCGATTATTTCAATGTAAATATTTATCTTAAACATATGTTTTTATTTAAAATATAATGAAATCCTTTTTTTCCTTCTTCTTCTTCTTCTTCTTCTTTTATTCAAATGAAATTAAATTGCTAGACATATGTGTATTTTGAAACTTGACTATACTTTCAATTCGATTAATCCACTCAAATGAAGAAGAAGGAAAAAAAAGAATAACAATATATAAAAGAAATTTCCCCTAGAGAAATAGACGAATGTTAAATAAATCAAAACTTTCTCTTAGGTATAAATCAATAACCAAGCAGGATACTAGGGAAAAGCATTAGATGCAACAAGCATTAATATCACAACTCAAAAAAAAAATATACTTCCTCGATCGTATTAATTATAATTGAAAATCAACTACCTGTTACATATGTTGTTAAAGATGGATCTATTGTTTTATAATGATGATGAAAATTTGTTGAATCATAATCATTTATATCATTAGAACTCGTGTGTATTTGTCGTTTTACAGATGATGTATATGTTTCATTATAGTTTCGATCAAATTCTGTTTTTTGTTCTGATAATTTTGGATCAAATACTTCAACAAAAGATTTTATACGATATTTATCTGATGATAAATTCGTATTGGTATTTCCATGATCACCAAATGTATAAATATTCGTTAAAGTAAAAACATTTCCATTTTCATTTACATTTGAACCAATATTTGATGCAGTAGTAGTTGCTGATGATAATGGTTCACTCATATCTGTTGGGATTGGACTTATCATTGCTGTCGATGTGCCTGTACGATGAGATGAAGTAACGCCAAAACCGGTAGTTCCGGATGGCTGCTGTATATATTCAACGCGATTATTACGCTCACCTTATCAGACAAGAAAAATAAAGAGATAGAACAAAGATAAAACTACAATAATATCCAAAAACTAGAACTATCTCATATTACTCTCTAAAATAATAATAACCTAAAAGAGACAATCTGATAAAATGATATGTCTACGTGTTGATTAGAAAAACAACAAACTATTCTATCTTTCTTTCTCGTTCTAATCTTCTATTTTTCATTAGTAAATTTGGAGATACTTTGAGACATTGTCATTATTGATGCGACCTACAGATGAGAAAGTATGTATATTCGCATTGAAAAGTGACACAGATGAGATGGCGAGGGACATAGCAAAGAGAGACAGAGAGAGAGAGAGAGAGAGAGAGAGAACACTCTCCATCTTATTCTCTCTTTCTTTCTCTTTTTTTTTCTTTTTCTTATTCGTTCGCGTACTAGAAAAAAAGGGTAAAAATTCAAGCAGCATCGTTTGCACATGTATAGACAACGAGAACAAGACCAAATTTACTAACGATAAACTCATCGCTCGCTCGTCATATTGTACTTGTTCTTTTTTTTTGCTATGCTGTCGTCGCATACTACGGTATATGATCATGTATAACGTCGATAATTCCAACCATGACACATAGACGATATATATATATATATATATATAGATGTGTATATACTATTCATATAGTTTGATCAGTCTCGCACGTTCAACACAAACTAAGTTGTATTCGTATGGATGCTTTTATCCAGTAATGGCAGAGAAAAGAAAAAGAATATAAGAAGAAGAAGAAGAAGAAGAAGGAGGAGGAGGAGGAGAGGGAAGACAATGTATTAATTTGAGAACGATAGGCTACTGGATAGAATAGATAACCTCACCATCTTCTTCTTTTTTGTTTCGGTCAACCATGTTGATAGTGACCTGCATGTGTTCGTACATACAAATCGTAATGCCGCTCTCCCTAATCAATGACACATTTGCGAATGAAGCAAAAAAGCAGGATTAAAAAGCATGAGGAGGAAGGTGGTCAAGAATGGTTAGTAATGGAATCATACACGATGCATTAAAAAACAAAAAAAGCACTAAAACAATCATATTTCTACTTACGTAGTCGTGAATGTGTTTCATCCCATGTGTGTAACAAATTATCTGTTCGTTGGATAGCTTTTGTATCGATACGATTAGCCATACGTCGTAAACTTGCAAGACGTTCGTTATATGATTGAAAACTTTTTAATTTAACCTATGAAAAATTATTTTTTTCAATTTTTTTAAAAATATCTCTTATAGTTCATATAGATATTAACATAAGTAGAAATGTAAATATCGCTGATGTTTACTCGTACTATAGAAAAAAACTTGATAAATTGTATTATTAGTATTATGAATCGAAAAATAAAACGATTATTATCAAAGTAATAAGAAGAAAAAGTAAATGACAGAATAGCGGAATTATGAGTTTTGTGTAAGTGACCATTGACCAACAACAAAAAAAAAAAAATTTACAATTATTTTTTCATTGATGTATTTACAACTGATGTTTTATCGGTCATTTATTTCTACTCAATGAATAAATTATTGATTCATTAATTTTTTTTTCCTTTCTTCTTATCTCAAACCTTTACATGTATGTATATATGGTGTTATAATACTCTTGTTGTCGATTAAAGGAGGATATAATCACTCAATCATTCATTCTATATCGATTATCTAAATGTATATGTTGTATGATATATATGTTGATCGGAAACTAATCATTAGAGAAACTACCTTTCACATCATTCAATCTTTATCTATAGAATACGAGAATATAAAATTAAAAAGGGTAACACCTGCCAATTATCACTCGATTTATTGATAAATTATATTTTTATCAAATAACATATTTTAACTCTTTCTTCTATGATCAATTATACCTGTATTTCTATTGGTGAACTTGTTGATGATACTGAATCAATCCATATTTTATATTCATTTATAGCTTTAGTAAGTGTTTGAAATTCTTCTTCATATTTTGATGCAAGTACTAATTGTTCAGCAGTTCGTTCAGAACTAATTATTTGTTTATAAAGTTCTTGCCATCGTCGTTCAAGTGTCTTTAATGATGATTCATGTTCAGTTGAATCTACTTTTGCTTGAAACACAAAAAAAATCAAAGCTAGTCATTTCAATATCAAAAAGAAAATGTTTTACCATCTTTTAATTGTTTTGTAATAATATTGCCTGTTTGAACTAAGCTTTTAAATTGATCATCATATGATAAATATTTTGTTTTGACTTCCTAGAAAATATCAAAAAAATTTTATTGAATAGAATAATTGAAATTCTTTTATTTGTCGAAATTATACTTGAACAATTTCTTGTACATCATTTCGATTTAAATTATTTAATTGTCTATCATCTAATATTTTTTCAATACTATCAATCCAATCAATAAATTTTCTAGCTGATAAATCAAAATCTTGTTTAGATGCATTATCACTTGGAATTTTTCGTTCAACTGTTGTTTCTTCAACTGTTGTTATTATTGTTTGTTGTATAGTATCATTTTCTGGTTTACTATTTTTTCTAACAATTGTTTCAATATTTATAGAAGATTTTTTTAACTAAGAAAATAAAATAAAAAAAAGATTTTTCAAAAAAAAGAAGAAAAATATTTACACGTGCTGAACATTGTTCAAGATCATCAATTAATTTTGTCCAACGTTTTTCAATTGTATTTATTTCTTCATTTAAATGTTTTAATTCATTAGATGTTTTACTATCATAATGTGTACTTAATACTTTTAAACTATTATCTAATGCTAGAATTGATTGACGAATATCATCCATTTCTAGTTCGATTTTCTACAAAAAAGAACAAAAACTTTCTAGTTTATTGTAAAAATAATTTTTTTTTTGTTACCTTAATTGAATGAGCTTGTTGCATAAGTACATCTGTATCATTCATATTTATTTCTGCTAACATTCGAGAAACTTCATGTTCTCTACGTGTTAACCATCGATTAACTTTTTCACGATTTAATTCAACTTGTTCAAGTAGAATTTTAACTTCTTGTAATTGTATCCAACGATTTTGTACAAATGTACATATATGTGCCCAACGTTCACTTAAATTTAATAATTTAGCTTCAACATCAGCTGATGTATATTTTGATGATATTGAATTTAAAGTTTTTGCTGCTGAATCATCAATAACAATAACCATATTTTGTAATGATTCAGTCATTTGTTGTTGTGCAACAAGTTCATCTTGTAATTGAGCTAATTGACGATATTGACGTTCAACACCGGGTAAATTTTGTTCCATAATTTCTAATTGTGATGATATACGTTGTTCAGCTTTAGATAACCATAAATCAAATGATTCAATTTGTTCAATTTGAAGTTTCATTAATGCTTTATGAAGACTAAAAAAAAACATGTATTTTAGAATTTCGATTTGAAATATTTCAAAAAATTTAACAAAGTTTCTTCGAAATAGGAATCAAAATCTTTTTAAGATTTTTATTAGAACACTATATAGTATCTGTAGACAAATTGATATTGGAAGAGAGAAGATGAAAGATATTTTCTCAAAAACTTACGTTCTCTATAAATTGTAAGAATTTTTCTTTTTACATGATTTATTTTCTATATACACTCTTATTAATCAAATTTACTTGTTTTACAAAAAACTAATATATTCGAAAATGAGAAGTAGTCCCTGTTGATTTAGTATATGAATGCTTTGAATTCGGTACGTTCACTAGAGCGTCTATTATAAGAGCGGAAAATTTACGATGACAAAACTTCAGAAGAAAATCTATTATATATTCTAGCGAAAACTCCAAATAAATTGATACATTTGATCTATTTCTGTACTCTTAGGGCAACAAGACCTTTGTCAAGCGTTGTACTTTTTTTTCTTCTACTTCTTCTGCATCCGACGGGTTGCTTTATCCTTTTCTTTTTCTTTCTGAGGACTTATGTACTTAAAGGAAGATAAATAACTCGGTGAAACCTCATATATTATCGAATGAATAAGAAAATAAATACATCTGGATGAAGTCCGGATCGTCGTAGAACTTATCAAGAAATTTACAATATTGAAAATCGATTGTTATCATTGAAAACTTACATCTTCATTATTTAATTGCGATCAATCGAAAAATGTTTCGATGATCAGGAATAAGTGAATAACTTTTGATAAAAAAAACATCATAGAGATCTGCAATTTTTACCTTTCTAGAGAGGAGATATGAGTTCTTGGTAGAAATTTTCGAAAACAATATTCTAAATCCATCTTACTTTCGATCTACACAAGGCTGACATTCTTAACTTGTTCTACTCAAGAGTTATAAGACTCTCTGATTTCAGATAATTAATCTGTGATCATCCGGAAAAACAGCTGCAAATCAATTCGATCACCATTCGACTCAGCATGGTAAATTATCCCTGTCTAGTTGCTTTTCCGGATGATTACAGGTCGATTTGTTGAAATCAGGAATCTCAGAAAAAGTCTTATAACTCTCGAATGGAACAAGCTAGAAATGTCGGCTTCGTGTGGATGGAAAGAGAAGAATTTTTTCTATTAACTAATTCTATTAGGACTCTAACTGGAAAGAAAAATAGCTTCGAAAGATTGTTTTCGGCAATTTCCGCCAAGAACATTCTACAGTTCGGGATGTTCTCTCTTGAATGGTGAGAACCGCAGCTCTCTATGATGTTATTATGAAAAGTAATTAAAAAAAAAAAAAATGGAGTACATTAAATTTTTGAAATAAATAGTAATGAATAAATGTAAATATTATGATTGATCTTCAATTCAAGGAAAATGCATCTTAATGATTAAGAATTTTGTTTTTTTAGTAAACAAATAGAAAATTCTTTTTTTTTGTTTTTTTTAGTTTATCATCTTTTTTTTAATATAAAGAAATTAGAAAAGTTTTAGAAAAATAATTTTCATATGATTTTGCTTACGTAGATTGACGTTCAAGTGATTTTGCACGTAATGATTCCCATTGACGATTAAGAATTTTCATTTGTTCTTTTATTTCATTTTCTTCTCGTGGTTGTAAATCAATATCTGATGATGTTAATAATCGATTACCTTCTTCAAGTACTTGACCTATTTGATTTTGATCTTTAGTTAAATTTATCATAAAATCCTATTTTAATAAAATAAAAAAACAATATTGAAATATATATATATATATATATTTACTTCATGTTTTTGAAATTGTTCTTTAACAATTGTAAGATCATTTGTAACAATTTTATCTTGTCTATCAAGTTCATCTTCTAATTTAAGAATCCAACGAACAATTCTATCCATATTTGTTTGATATGTTGTCAATTGAGTTGATTGTAATGAATTACGAAATCCAGTTGGTGTTACTGGTGTAGTTGGAGTTTGTACTGATGAAATATTTGATATTACTGATGAACTTCTTATAGATGGAGATGGAGACTAATAATATTTAGAAATAAAAATAAAAATAAAATTATCATTATTCTTTTGTATTATACCTTTGTCTCCATCGAACTAGATTTATTATTACTTATAGATCTCATCATCGTCGGTGTTCCAATTTTCTCTTTATCTTCAATAACAATATTATTTATTGGCATTTGTTGAAAAAGACACATAATATACATCAATATTGACTTTTTGTCCGGATATTCAGAGAGAACATCTATTATATGAAAATGTTTCGTTTTGTTCAAATTTATTAAGTAATAATATAGATTCGATTGAAATAAAGAAATTTATATAAGATATCGATAAATTGAAATTTGAGAAAAAAAAAAAATTTTTTTGTCATGGTTAGATAGAGCTCATCAAGTTACCTCGATTATTAACATATTCAAACGATATTTTTTGTAGTAATACTTAGATTACAAAAATTGAAGTATGGCCAAAAGGATCAACTCTCAATAAACTTTATGATTCTGGTTTCTTGCTTAGTAATACATGTTTTCTATTAGTGTTTGAGACATCTAGTATGACTTCTCATGGCTACAGTGTGTAAACCGCAATACCACCAGCCATGAAATGACAAGCGGATAAGTAACTAACCACTTTTTGTATCGGATCACCCGTCCGATAGTATGCTGTCTATGTTGTGACATACACCTGTTCTTGTATTTGAGAAGCACAAGACCTTTACATCATGTTGGCCTTCTGTCCAAATTTACAGTTATTCATAGTTGTAAGAAAGATATCGATCTATTGAATCTACTACTAGACACTACTGTATACCGCATAAGGTAAAGGAAAGTCAAGGATATTCTTTCTTCCTTTTACTGGATACAATGATTAACTGTTAACAACTTATTACTTTTCGAACTTATTCTAGTGTTATGCATGGTATGGAAGGCTATCATAGTATTCAATCATTGGAAGACAATAACGTTTTCTTTTTAACCTTTTCTCTTTTGATTAGTACGAGAGTACATTAAACTGTATATTACTATGTCCTCGAATATATTCCAAAAAATATGTCATTCTGACAATGTCTAGACGACACTAATGAAGAAAGACAATTTAATAATATGTAAGATTTAACATATGAATTTATTCATTATTTAAATCTGTTAGAGAATTTAGTTTGATATATGATTTAATGAGGTCTTCACCTTCTCATTTCGTTTATCAGAAATATTGAAAATTTTCAGAGTAAATACATCTCAATGAGTGAAGTGAAACTTGTCATACATTCAAAAATTCATAAATACTTCCTTCGAGCAAATATCCAGATCGCAAAAACTAAAAATCACTCCGCTTTCTCAGTCACAATACGTCCAATAGACAATACACATTGTTTGAGGTGTCTACTTTTTATGGTTTAATATTTCTCAAGAAAAAAAAAACGCAGACACTATAAAACATTAAGTGAATGCGGATCACGTATCTTTTTTTGTTTTTTCTTCGTTATTTTCTCTTGTATTTCGATTATATTATAAAAGATCTTTATTTATATTAATAGCTCTTGAGATTCTTTTATCTTATTATCTGGCTATAAAGATTATGTATAATTGCTTTTTAAGAAAATAATTATATAAATAGATTTGAAAATTGTTATGTAATTTTTTTCTTTTGTTTATATTTCAATCGAATCTATTAATTTGATTTATACGAACCTTCAACATCAAGATATCGATCAATTTTGAAGATATTTTTAGCAATACTAAATGCATGTTCAAGATTTCTAGCTGCTGTATGTTGTAATATATCTTCATAATCAAATAAATCAGGACGAAATTTATGGATAAGTGCATTAAAAGCAAGACCATCTTGCCAACTTGTAGTAAAATCTTTAATTGCTACACCTTTATATCTAAAGATCATAAAAAATTATTTTAATGAAAATAGAAATAATTTTTTGTTTTCTTTTGTTAAACCCTTTTGTTGTTTGTTGACACCATGAAAGAAGAAATTTTTCAACATTTGTTTGTTGTGGATTTGGTACAATTGATTTTAATACATCTTTACCTTGCCAATATTGAATTATTGACCATATAAGTGCAAGTGTTAGTTTTGGATTTCCATCAACAATATCATTTGATGAAATACTAAGAAGTTTTATCTATTATAATAAACAAAAAAAAAAAAAAATTAACATATTTCAATTTCAATGTCAATTAAAATTGACTTACTCCATATTCTCCAAGTACAGCTATTACTTTATTAACATTACCGATATGGTGTACACGCATTTTACCAATTTCTCTTTTCTATAGGAAAAATAAATAAATTATAATTTTCATATTGTCTTCTTCTTTTTTTTTTTTATTTCATAACATACATATTCATTTCCAGTGAGTACTTCGAGTAATCGAAGTAGAATAACACCATCACGTAAATCTTGAAATAAATTAGTAATAGGTGGTGTTGAATGTGACTAAAAATAACCTATTTGTAATATTATTTAAATACTATTAATCTACTTACATTAACTAATTGATTATTAATCCATTTAGTAAATGCTTTCTTTTGAATATCTTCACGTTCGTCTACAAAAGAACCTCGAGTGGACACCATTTACAAATACGTTTTTTTTTTTTTAATAGAAAAATTTGGATCTTTATACCAAACTTTTGATTTGACCAAACGAAATAATAAATATAATCTGTTATTATTGTATAAACGCGTTAGAGTTGGTAAAACGAATATATGTATATATATATATATATATATATATATAATATTTTAATGTAAGTTTAATGTGAAAGAAAAAAAGAAAGAAATGAACGAATGATTTCGTTTAATTTGACACAGCTCAACAGTTCTTATGTTCATATATATGTAGAAAAGATGCGACCATGATTTAATATGTGCATTTGGATGAACGAATAAAACTTTTTACGTAAAGACTGTCTATATAAAAATATACGAATGTATGAGCACATCACTAGACATCATGTCAAAATTACTAACTTCAATTCGTTGATTATTGTTAATAATAACGAAATAGATGAAACTGACAACGTCAAAAAATGATATTTGAAATGAGGGGAAAAAAAAAATACCTCAAGAAACTTTCTTCTTCGTCTTTGGCAAACGGCCAGATCAATGGATGAATAATGATGGGGTTTTTTTTTTTCTCTATCTCTCGCTCTTTTAACGATGATTACTACACTATATTTTTGGTAATGGACATTAGCAAATCGATCAATCGTGTCACTATCATCATGATTTGGTATATACATATATATGGGTGTTAATTTATTTTTTGAAACCCGTACATGTAAAAAGAAAAAAAAAAATTATAGATATGACGAATGGCTTGTCACTCTTCCATTTTTTTTCTCTCCCACGATGATGACAGTAGGAGACAAGATAGTTACTTGCTTACTATACTCATATATCAAATGCATCAATCGTGACTAATTTTTTATAATATCGATTTCGATAGAAAAGAAAAATCAAGCACAAAAAAAAATAAATATACATTTAATAGTACAAGATAAATTTTATATGTTTGTTTTTTTCCTTCTTTCATTGATTCGTTTACTTAATTATCCAACTATTCTTATGTACATATATATATATATTTTTTTCTATTTATAATTTTTTGCCATTGGCAAAATAATATAAATCTAGTGAATCAAATAAATATGATAAATGTACTACTACTGGTCAAGAAAGATCAATGATATTTGATCACTTTCTTTTCAAATACATATATATATTTTTCTCTATAAAACAATGCTTATTCTGTTGCATGATCATCATATTATTCCAGATGAGAATCAATTATCAATAGATAGATATATGAAACTTACGTATTGAATCCTCATCAATAGGATTCAATGGTTCATCTATATCGGTTGATGACATAGTTGACTAAATATTTTCTTGTCTGATAATATTGAGTAAAGTTTGTTAACAATGATCAAGTGATCGATGAGTTCTAATCAATAATATGTTGATTGCCCGCCCTCTTTCTTTCTCTCTCAAACATAGAAAAAGAGGTCGAAGACGACGACGACGACGATGATGATGATGATGATGATAATAATAATAATAATAATAACACAACAGCAGTGACGAAGATTGGATGGTGGTACGATTCTTACTGTTGCCTATCTGTATTTCCGCAAAGATGTTGCTTCTTTTTTCCTCTCTCGTTCTCTGTCTCTCTCTCTCTCTCTCTTTTTTTCTTCTGTTTTCTTTCTGTATACATGTTTCAGGAAAAGTTAGAAATATGCTTGCATACTACTCTTGTGTGTTCTATTGCAATATTGATGCTTCTGACTGTCTCGCCTTATACTCCAACAACATCGAACCTTATTCCTATCATCGCTCTATTCTCCCTTTTTCGCTTTCCTGAACTATGTACGTTAAGAGAACATCTTCTTCTTCTTTTTTTTTTATGCTTATCGACTCGATAGTATTAGTATAACATCATCTTATATACGACACTTAAAGAAAAACATAACAAGGACATAGAATATATATATATATATATATATATATATATAAATAGGAAGTAGTAAAGCAATGAACAAGAAAAACCGTACGATGATGGGATGACAAAACAATTGGCCTTCTGTTATCCAAGGTCACCAGAGAACAATTATTACATCAGTACAAACGAGAAAAGTAGGTATAAAAAACAAAATCTTATTAACTTAATTGAGTTAATAAATAAATAAATAAGTAAATTAAAAAAAAAGTAGCGACATACCTCGTCGATCTCGTATTATCTGTTGAAATTGTTGTACGTCATCATCATTAACATTTGACATTGCAAAAATAGCTGTATCAAGTGAATTATATCGTTGAAAAGGATTAGTTAACATCAAAGAGGAATGTTCATTGAATGTAAATCGTTTTTCTTTGTTATATTTGGTATGATAATACCTGTAATAGAATATACGAAAAGAAAAAAAACGTTAAAAGTATTTTTTTGAACTATTGAAAATAAATTTAACAAATACTTCTCATCATTGTATTTATTTGATAAATGAATATGTATAGACATAGTCTTATAGGTTTTCTTTACCTTCATCTTGAGGATTTAATTTAAATCAACTTTTTTTTTTTTTTTTTGAAAGATTGGAAACAATATTATCTAATTCGTATAACAAAAAAAATTCTTTTTTTATATTTCTTCATTAAATTTTCTATATGAAAAAGTATAACTGTAATCTCATATGAAGAATTTGAAATTAAACAAATAAATTGATATTTGTAAGATAGTAAAAAATTTCATGTTCAAAACTCGTGTAATGTATTAATCATTTGTCTTTGATCTTTATTGAATCCTTTTCAATTTCGAGATATGTAATCGTATATATGAATAAAATATTAATTTAACAAGTTTAAGACAGTTTCAATATTTGAACACTCCAGATATATATATATATATATACCATGTTTCTCTTTTCGCATACAAAATTATTTGTTGTAGTGCTATTGGTATTTGCGATCAAGCGTTAAGCTTTCTCTGTTCACATTTTTTTTTGTCTTCTTCATACGTGCTTATACTCTCAAGTAAATAAGTAATAGACGATCTTTGCGTAATCTTTCGATCCGAAATATACATACAAGTTCTTCAACTGCAAATAACAACATGACTAAAACATCTTTACAATAGACGATAAAACAAGAAGATGCAAGAGTACATATATATGACGTAAGAAAAATACACACAACATACAAATTATAGGACTGTCATTTTATTTTTCTAAAGGATTGAACTAATATATTATAAGCAATGCTTCGTTTTTTTTTTTTTTGTACTATATTCAATATTTTCAGGCAATATATAAGTGACTTTATTCAAGAGTTTATCAAATAAGATAATGCTAATCGAAGTAATATGGAGAGTAATATCCTTTTGTTGATAAGCAAAGAAGAACAAAAAAAAAAAAAAGAAAAGAAATACGAAATACGAAATACCTTTCATGAATGAAATGAAAGTATAGAGAGACTTGAACGAAATTGCATACAAAATGAAATATGAGCTTCACAAAAAAAAAAAAACGAAGAATAAATCAGCGGTTTTTTTTTGTGTTTTCTTTCGAATTATTACAAAAGTTAAACTGATGAGATTTTTAAATTGTTAAATGAAATGAAAGAGTAACCTTGTGTTTGATCACCATTAGGAGAAAAAAAAGGTCACTTATACCTATATTTAAAAACTTTCACATACATGATGAATGTTGTTGATTTACCTTGAACGTTAAGCTAAGCAAAAGCGTCAAGAAATTAAGAAAAAAAAAAAAAGAAAGACACAATACCTACAACTCATCATTTACAGCTGTTGCATCTTTATTCTTTGTTTAACGTATAGTTAACAGATTTTTTTTTCTATTTAGTCAGTAACTATAATAAAATGATTTTCTCTCTTTTTCTATATATATATATATACATTTGAATAAAGAAAGTAGAATAATAATAAAAAATCATAAATTATTAATTTACCTTTACGTGCATATACTTGGATGATGAATGCAAACAATGACCGGCACTTTCTTTTTAACGTTGGTCTGTCAAGCAAACACACGTGTGTTGGCACTCTCAATTTCTCTTCTTTCTGTCAAAGAAAGACAAGAAAAACAAATGGTTCGAGTAAGCAAATGCTGCCATCGCCGTTCATTGCGGTTTCAATTGACTCAAATCTTTTTCTCTCTCACTCTCCTTCTTTCTCCTCTGTCTCCTCTCTTTCATCACCATTTTCTTCAATATTCTGTTTTTTTGGCATTTCATACAATCTTTTTCTTCCTCTTTTTCAACTATTCGAGTGTTTCGTATATTATATATTGAAAAAAAAAGAGGATCAAAAGCTTGAATTGGTTGCCTCTTTTTTCTATTTTTCATTCGTTCGTATATTGAAGCTTTAACATGACATGAAATGGCACAAATCACGGTCATATGAATTGAAAGATGATGTTCGTTCGTACTAATCTATGCATAAGAGATGACAAGTAAATTGAGTCTTCATCTTATAATCTGTCTATTCTATATTTCTTATTGTTATTGTTGAAACACTTTTAGTGATTATGTTTATGATAACAACGAGAAAAAATAATAAACTTGAATAAAGTGATAATACACACGTCAGTTAGATCGTTAAGAAATTCTTAAAAAATAAAAAATAAATTCAATTCTTATATCACATTATTTTATTTATTGTTTTGCAAACTTGTAAAATCAAATATATATGAAATATAAAAATGATTTTTTTTTAAATTTTTTCATTGAGTTTATGTAAATGATAAATTTTGAAGAGATTAAATTTTAAGACAAAAAAAAAAGCATAAACTAAAATACATATTGATTAAGTAAATAGTAACAACTTATATTCAAATCTTCATTATTCAATAATCAAGGACATGTATAATAATGAACATTTCATCAAAGTCTTTCTCGAAATTTGAATGTCTGAAATGCGTTTGTGTCATTGTTATGATCAACATTAAAAAAAAATCGTGAACTGATCAAGTTGTAGCTTTGGAAAATAATCAATATCAGTGTTCATGAACTTACACAGATATATAATAGTATATTGAGATCTACTATGGATCTAATTTACAAGTTAAATCAATGGTTAGAATAATAATAATGTTCAAATTAACAACTATGGAATATGAAAACGACAAACAAAAAATACAATGTCAATAAAAAATAGCCTCTGTTCCAAAATGCAAAAATAAATAAGACATATGGAAGTTTTCAAGACGATTGATTATCCTTGGAAAACAAGAGGTCTTTAAATTCAGGGTACCTCCCTCTTTGTCCGGAGTTTCCGAAGAATAGCTCATCAGAAAATTTGGAAAGATGGAAAAGTTCTCATTTTGGATACTATCACGGATCACAATGGCTCCACCGTTTCTCCGAGATGCTACGTTCGATCAAGCTGAAAATCTTTTTTCACAAGTACTAGACACTGTTTGGGATTTGTATCTTTCTAATTTTTTGTTCTTCGAATAGGAAAGCCAAAATAACGAAGATACCCTATAAAACACATGTTTGTTTTTAGTAAGAACTACAAAAACAAGCATCCATCCCAAATGATATATAGTATATGTGAAAAAAAAAGTTTCAACTCGATCGGGCGTATTAAGTTGAAGAAGTGAGAACGTTTCCGTACTTTTCTCATGAAAAAGTTAGTTTGAGAAAAATGAGAAACAGTGAATAGTTTTTGATAATTTGATTTTTTTGACGTTTAAAGATAATTTGTAGATACTACTTCACACAATATAATGACTACCAAAAAATTTTGGATCATGAGAGGAGGATAGAAGGTATTCTTAACGTATTTTATATTAGTACAATGAGACTAAAAAACATATGTGAGTTACATATTTTAGCCTGACAGAGGTTACGGTAGCACGTGTTTTTTTTTCTACAGATAAATAAACACATTATTAGAGATTGATTAGTTTTTTTTTTTTTGTTCGTCAACTAAACTTTAATGTTTTATCGTATGAAGAATTTTCTATATGTATTAAATAATATTAACATCATAGAAATAATTTAATATTTTACTACATGATTTTGTTTATATCCACTTTTATCCCTTATGTAATTATATCTTCAAGCAAAAAATTCTTAATATGTTATTAACAACAAATGACTCATGACGTTTATATTACATCATTCTTGTCAGTGAATTGTTTCTTTATATTAATAAGATAAAAATAACTATGTTATTATATTATTAATTAGTTTAGTATATAATCATTAGAACAATAAGAAGATTTTATTTTTGTTATTCATTTAATAAAAATATTAATTGAGAGAAATTTTATTATAATTTTGCTTTGAGAAATATATTCAATCAAGTATAATAATTTATCAGATCTTCTCTAAGGTTACAAGATAATTCATGAGAAGAAAAAGTTTTATTTGATTCTTTTTTTGTTGAATAATTAATATCTTTTATTTTGATTTGAAATAAATCAAAGTAATATTCTATCAACATTGAAGATATATATGAACTAACCTCACATTGCTATCATCAAAAATTATCAATGATTATGCAACAATAGGTTATTCATGGTCATGTATAAGAATTCTTTATTCTCATAATACTTAACATTATGATAGATATCTTATTAGTTATCAACATATTATTCTTGGAATTCATTGTATGTCTATTTTATTACTTTAAATTTATGTTCATATCATCAACTCGTTTATTTAAATAATATAACGATACTTAAGAGAACACCGATCTGTTTTTTTTTGACCAAAAATTCAAGAAAATCAGGATTTATTTGTTGAGATTTTTTTTCGTCAAATACTTGTCTCCTTATTTTAGATGCAGAAAAAAATTTCAATCTAATCGGTTATACTCTCTTCGACAATCAGCAATAGTCAACACAGAGAAGAGTGGAGGGGGTATTCTTAAATTTAATTAAGCATCAAATTGTTGGTTTATATTGTTCAATATTAAATATTTTATTATCTATTCTAAAAACTATGGTTCAAAATTCAAAGATCAACATCATCATCATCGTGTGATATTAGATTGTTAATTTTTCCAATGTATACAATGATTTGGTCTTGAGTCTGTTAATAGTATATTAAATAAATCAATATTTTGTCTAATCAACTTATTTTAGTTTACATTATTAAGATAATTTTCTGCTTCAATTCAACTATCATTATCATATTAGCTTGTAAAAACAAATATATATATATATATATAGGTCACCATAGGCGAGATTGAATGCGTTTATTGTCTATCATAGATCGAGTAGATTTCCGAAAACATCGGATTATTGAAGCTTAAAATATTCATATACATAATAAACATATTTAGACAAGGCAAATATCAGTATGGCATTATTGATCTAGAATAAAGAAACATAGTTATATTTTGTTGAAGGTGTTACTATTGCATTTAATATTAGACGTCGGTATTAATCTTGAAAAATCAAATTCAATTCCATTGAAACTTACTATACGAAAAGTTACAGGTAATACTAAAACAACAACAAAACCGGAATTCTTTTTTTGTTTTTTGGATGATGGTTTAGCTGATAATAAATCATATAAAAAAAAAAACATGATCGTTGTTTTCTTATTTTTTGTAATGACATATTCTTATAGCCATTATTTATGTTAGTCAATACACACATAATATTATTATCAATATTGATATACGTATATAATCATTCATTTTTTGCTTGAATAAATATAATTAATTTATTCTATCAAAAAGATACCGTTAGTATGATAACTGTTATCACGTTGAGAATATACATATACGTTATCAATAGATATTCATTAAAGCTTGTTGATGCATTAAGAATATGACAGAATCAAATCTTGATGAGTGTGCTGTTTTTACAGATTAGAATCAAATATCAAGATATACTTTAGAATCTATTATCTGGTTTTTTTTTTGTGTCAAAAAATTGGTTGTTTCATTTTCAAAATTGATTTATTTTTCATATAGAATAAAGTGATTAGTTCTTTTTTATGCAAGTTACGATTAAATAAATAAAAGCTTGGTAAATCCTGACTGTAAGCATTAGCTCGAGATCGATTGACTTGAATGCATTGGATTAGGAAAATAAAATACTTCGTCTTTCTTAAACCTCAAAAAATTTGTTTTTTTTTTGACACTTTTCTACTTTGTCATTATTTTGAAGTGTAAAAATCGATCATTTTACTGATAAATAGAGTTTTACATGGCCATACTATGTCACAGATACGAAATTCTAATCTGCTATGATTCTGAGGCGCAGTAACATTTCTATTGTATGGAAAAAAAAATCTTCGCATAGATTTCCACGCTCTGAATGACTATAAAAATGAAATCTTCAGGGAATACTTGATTAGAGCAAATAACTCACTGGAGAAAATTTCAAGGCAAATGGTTGGAATCTCATTAACTCTCATGCTGAGAATAACCAAAGATAAAATGTTGAAATATTCTCGTTTAAATAAAAAAATCTATGTTAATCTTCTGTTTCACAAAAGTCGATCAAGTTCTTATCGCTGCTTGCTATTAGAATTTATCACGTTCTATTTGTTATCAAAATATGAGATCAAAGACTTTACATTTAGATACTTTCTACCCGATAGAGAAATTTTTGATGATTACTGTGTGTTCTGAATTGTCATATTGAATAAAGTTTAGTTGATCAATTGAATAGAACTTTTGAATAAAATGCCTATAACTCCTGAACAAGTAAATCTAAAAGTCTGAATGTTGTGCAATTTTGTAGATCTTCATTTAGCCATTTCAATACGCACCTGATTATTGAAAATTGATCTTAGTCACCTTATGAAGTATGTTGGTTTTCCAAAACATCGATTTAAGTCCTTGAAAAAACTAGATCAAATTATTCTGTAAGATACAATTCGATGCGTCTCCATTTCCTCTTTTCAACGGTGAAAATCGCAGGTCTCTATCTTGCTCCTATCAAAAGTTATTCAAAAAATACCCGCCCACCATTTCTTTTGAAATGGGCAACAGTACCTGTAAAAACAACCTGTTCAGCTCAATCGAACATAGCATCTCGGATAAACAATGGGACCATTTTTTATCATATAACCCCAGTATCATATAGAAGGAAAACATCCGCAATAGCAATTTTGCCCTACTCGTCGAGATCTACCTGTTCTGAAACGGAGGGAAATTTCTATAATCTAATGTAATTCATACATAGAAAGTTGAAAGATTTATAAAAATAGACCAATCTACTCAATAGACTGAGCAACATAACATAGTTAACTCGTTCATTTTCAAAATAGACCAAATATTTTTTCTCATATATCTGTATTTAAAAATGGGCAGATGTGTCCGGAATACGAGATGACCAGCGAAAATTGAACGCTTTTCTTCGTTTTTTTTTGCTTATCAATCCTCTTCAGTTGTTACTTTTTTATGAAAAGTACTATTAAAAAAAATAAAAATCCAAATCAGACATGCGTCTCTTATTTAAAATATTAAACGGAGAATATTTTTAACTTATAAAAATAAAGGAGAATTGATTATAGCGAACTAAATAATTGTTAAATTATATTATTTTTATTTTCAATTAATTATATTTTATATTGATTTTACATATAAATCTTTTTTGTAAATATTAGACAAACTAACAATAAATAAAAAATATTATATTAATAGAATAATTGTAAAACGACGACATCGTTTTTAATCCATTTGTTTCCATATTTTACCTTCTTTTTCTTCTTCGCTATGATATACTCACCAAGGTGAATAAAAAAATCAATATTATTCTTCATTTTTTATATCATATGTTATCAATGCAAACTTTCATTATATTTCTAATTATTTTTTTGCATATATCAAAATATTGTTGTGAATATTCATCATGCAGGTTTAATTAATTTTAATAGATTTTTATTTAATTTTCTTGTATAATTATTCACATAGAACAAATTGTTCACATAATGGTACTGATGATGATAATGAATGTTGGCGTCAAGCATTAGTTTATCGTTCATCAGAATTAATTCAACGAATTTTTTCATTTAGTAGTCTATCTGTTTATGTTGATACATTTCAACGACATCATTCAGAAGAAGTTTGTTGAATTAAAGAAAAAAAAAAAAAAAAGAAGAGAAATTTTAATTTTTCTATTGTTTGTTTATTTTTTTTTCTATTTAAGTTAAATGATACAATCAAATTTATTGATCAATCATTAGAAGATAATTTATTAAATGAATCATTTGATGCTAAACTAAACATAAGTTTATTTACAGAAACAAAACAAATTCTTCTTAATTTCGTAGGGAAAAAAATAAAAATAAAAATTTAGCTCATTTTTACTTTGACTTGTTTTTTTTTGTTTTCTAGAGTCAAAATTTAACATCAATTCCAATTAAATCACCTAATCAATTTCCATCATTATCATGTACAATGTTTACATGTTCATCAGACATACGTAATTATATGGTGCTCTTCATAATTAGTAGTGCTGTAGCTAGCTTAACACTAATCATTTGTATTGTGCAATCTATTCAAACACGTCGTAAATCAAATCCTATAGTAATTGTTCAACAGAATCTTCTTATAAATTCTCCTTCAACTCTCATGACTAGTGCTAATACTGATTAGCTGATAAAATAAATATATTTTTCATATTGTTGTTGATGATCTGAATTTGATTTATTTATATTTTTGTTTTTTTTTTTGATTATTATAGATTTATAATGTATTATTATAGTGGTATTTTTTGGATGTTAATTTATTTTATATTATCTGTATATGGTGAACGAGATCTATTCGGAAAAAAATGCAAGTAAGAAAAATAAATGATATTTTAATTAATTCATATGAAGGATTGAAAATAATAGGAAAATATGCAATAAAAATATGCAAGCTTTGGTTGTCTGGTATAGTCACCATTAATTTTAGTAATTTTTCTTATCAGTATTTTTATACGTGTTAGAATCTTCTTTATTATTGTATTTTTCTTCGTTCGTACTTAGTCACCTTCCGCTTTATGCAATTACACATACATATATACAGGTTGATTACGTTATTTTTAATAGTTTTGTGTAGTTTGCGGTTTTTATGTAGAACATCGGGGATTTCTTATTTTGATACAGTTGGATAGAGCATCGACTACTCTATCGAACCATATAGTTTACATTTTATTTCCTTTAGTCCTAGTTCTAAAAATCGATAAATCTCAAAAAGCAGTGAAAAAGATTTTTTTACGCAGTAAAGGGGTGGTCAAAAAATCATCAATTTTTCACCCACTCTAGAAACATTATAAAAGGGAAGTACCTTAGTAGTAAATAATTGCTTTGATATTGGTTTATTAAGATCAAGATCTCGCCACTTTTGTGGACAAAAGCTTAATGAATGTCAGAATTTTTTAACAGAATGCCGCAGTCTCCCTCTCAGGAACGTCACAAAAATTTGTTTTCGAATTTCGACTTGAAACTTTGCACAGAGATAGGTCTTAGCAAGAGTAGGTTATTGTGAAAATTTCAGATCTTTTCGTTGTTTCTATCCTAAAATTTAAACATCGAATCCGCCCGTGTATATGAGCGGTGTCATAAAAGGCGCTTTTACCATAGTAGTATTTTAAGATAGGAACAACGAAAAGATTTGAAAATTTCATAATAAACTGCTCTCGTTAAAATCTATCTGTATGCAAAGTTTCAAGTCGAAATTCGAAAATAAGTTTCTGTAATGTTCTCCTTTACTGCGTAAAAAAATCTTTTTTACTGCTTTTTGAGATTTATCGATTTTTGGAACTAGGACGGAAGGAAATAAAATGTAAACTATATGGTTCGATAGAGTAGTCGATACTCTATCCAACTGTATCAAAATAAGAAATTCCCGATGTTCTACATAAAAACAGCAAACTACACAAAACTATTAAAAATAACGTAAACAACCTGTATATACACTACTAATGATAGTTATACCAACGAAAGTCATTTTTATGTTTAAGACTTTGTATTGCTCATCTTAATAGGTCCAATGGTTGAGTTTGTATTTTTTTTTCTATTTAAATTAATTACTTATTCGTTTTAAAGTATAAAATTCTGGTATTAAATTGAAACATAGTGGTGATTATGACAAAATATTCTAGTAAATTTAGAATGGAGAAATTCAATATATTACTAATGTCGGTAAATGTCTTCCGACATGCAATAGATTGAATAGAGATTTTTTTTTTTACAACGATACAATTCATTAAGATATAATCGAGCATATTCTTTTATAGAAAGATCATTGTGTTATTCGATTGAAATCTTTGAAAATTATGAAAGTAAAATATTATAAAGAATTTGAGATTGAAATATTTATTATAATGCAAAGTAATTTCACCGAATAAATCTTAAGAAAAGAAATATATAATTCTTCTTGTTATTTTCTTTATTAACATTTTTTTTTTATTATCATTATTAGACGTGCATGTGATACTAAACATGGTACATTCGATTGTTGGAAAGCAACTACAAATGGATTTACTTATGGTTTATCAACAGCTATGATTGATTATTGTGAAGTAATATTGAATCTTCGTCAAATAACCAATGATAAAGTTAGTTGAATAGAAAATTATCTTTTACTTTTTTTGTTCTCCTCGTGGAACTCACATTATATTTTTCGAAGAATAAAAAATTCACGGCTGCCTTTCTCCATAGTAACGAAAGGTCAATGACCATTGAGTACATTCCCATAGTAACTGAGAATAACAGATCTTTGATTACTTTTCCAAGCATTTCTTAGCAATGAAGAGCTATGAATACCCTGAAAAATGTTCGTGTCCTAAACCTATTGCTGCGGAGATATTAAACGGTATTTTTTAAATGAAATGTATGATAACAGAAAACCTGATTTTCGACTTGAAACTTTGCATAGAAGCAAACTTTAATGAGAGCAGTTTATTATGAAATCTACCGATTGAGATATGAAAAATTCACAAGAAAAAAACCTATTCTCGTCAAGGTCTGTCTCTATACAAAGCTTGAAGTTGAAATTTGAAAATCAGGTTTTTTTTATTACCACACTAATCATTTAAAAAAGTACCATAAAAGTGCAGCATCTCTATAGAAACAAGCTAAGGACACGAACTCTTTATAATGTATTCATAGGTCATTTGAATCCAAATAATGCACGTAATCTCGATTCAAAAGTAATTTATCAATTGGAGCACTTCCTTCGTTAGACTGTTCTAGAAATTTGAATGGCTAGAATACATTTGTATAATTGTTCTAAATAATGTAGTTTTAAAATTTATATTCAAAATGTCAAAGATGATTGTTAATAATGTGCTGATTTGTCACAGTCATCATATGATCTAGGTTCTTCAATTGTTGTTTTTGGAGTCATCGTGAAACACGTTAGTTCTGAAACATTTTACTAGAGTCCATCCTAGTCGTCAAGATGACGTTGCTCATATCGAGATATATAATAATGTGTTGATATCTACTATAGATATAATGAATATGTACAACAGACTTATTCGTTAGTTAAATCAATAGTTAGAATAAGAATAATAATGTTAAATTAAGCAAAATGGAATGCATAGAGTAGCAATAAAATAAAAGAAAACAAAATTTCTGTTTTGAAGTGTAGCAATAAGTAACATAAATAGTTTCCCTAGCGTTTGATTATTCTAGGAAAATAACTACCAGCTAACTTGTCTTGTATTATTAATGTACGATGCAAAAGCAATGATAGAATATGTCAACCCTTATATTTCTTCATAGATACGGCTTTGGAAAGGAGTTTTTTTTAGCATTTGATAGCCAAATTTTCTCCTCTTTCGAACTTATCAACAGAACAGCATCGGAAGAAATAGAGATATCCTAAAAATAGTTCTATACTCTTTGTATATTGTAGAAAATATCGACTAGTATATCTCTTGTGTTAGAACGATAAGTTTTTTTTTTTGGTCAGTTGATAGAAAGTTTTCTCTTGTTTCGAATTGTATGACGTTTTTTATTTAAAGATATCTTGGTATAATATTAGTCGTGATATACTTATTCAACAAATTATTCAATACGATCTTGATCCAAAAGTTCATCAATTGACTAAGAATGATATTCAAGAAGTTGCGATATCACTTCTTAATAAAGTAAAATATTTTCATGTTTTTTTGTTTTGTTTTTCTTGATTCGATTAAATTTAGTGTTTTTATACAACATCTATATCTTCTTCTTTGCAACCATCATGTCCATCATGTTCTATAAAACAAATCAACTTAATAAAACAATGGCGTGTAATATCACTATTTCTTATATCTAGTTGTGTTCTTTTCATTGTTATTATTTTATTCTTATATACATTCCATACTCATATAAATCATTATTCATATGAATCGATTAGTTAAAAAATTTATCTGTTTTTTTTTTTTTTCTAGATTAAATAAATATGCATTTTTCATCACAACAAGCACTTATCTTCTATGAAACATTGAAAGGTATGTAATTATATGAACAACATTTTTTTTTTCTTTGGCCAAAACAAAAAAAAATATATATATATATAGAAAGAAAAAAAAACAGATTCTATACATATTTCTATTCACATTCAAAATTCGGTACAACAGCATCTTCTTTTATTATCGTTTCATTACTGTTATTCGTATAAATATTGCTGCTATTAAATAATAATGATTCATCATTTATTAATGATGTATTCATTGATATTGTTGATGTATCTCGATCACCACTAAACCAAACATGTCCGAGTATATCTTGTGCTAAAAGACGTTCATCAGGTTTAACTCGAATTAAAGAACGAAGTAATGAACGTGCTTTAATTGATATTGTTCGAGGTATTTCAGGACGACATCGACCAATTTTGATAAATAAACCTACTAGAGTTCGATCACAAAATGGATAACGACCAAAAAGCATCGTATACAATATGATACCTAAATATAATTATTTCAATTAATTTCAAAGAAAAAAAGTCTTTTATTATTCTATCTATAATAAATAACTTTCTGAAGAATTGGAATCTAAATTTTTAAATTAGAAACAGATTTATTGTTAATCTCTTTCAATGTATATATTAAATTCTTTCGAAGACTTGATAATTTTGCTCATAGAACGATGGAAAAATCAATTTTTGATCTAAAATATTCTCTACAAGTCATTCTCATGATTATAACAACATCTTAAAATTTTCAATCAAAACAAATTGCAACTAGTATTTTGTTTTTGTTTTTTGACTGTTGAACTTTTCCGAAAATAAACAATTTGTTATGATTGTAAATTCTAAGATATATTTATTCTATAATAGAAATAATTCTCTTGACAATGCTCAAAACTAATGAATTATTTCAAGTAGTTCATTTGTCAACCAAAAAAAAAAAACGTTATTAAAAACTCAGAAGATCGAATGTTTCTAGTGAATTTACGACATTTGCAATATGATTATATTTTTTGAATTTCGACTTGAAATTTTGTATAGAGTCAAATTTTCAAGAAAATAGTATATTGTGAAAATTTTAGATCTTATCATTATTCCAATTCTAAAATATTCCAACTTGACTCTATGCAAAATTTCAAGTTGAAATTCGAAAATGAATATTTCTGCAAAGAACTACGGAATTCAATCAAAAAAAAAACAAACCTCCTGTATTGCTACCCTATCTCTCAGACATCAGTTATTTTTTTTTCTCTCACGCTATTATGTGTATTATAAACCAAAAAAAAATTTTTTTTTACCAAGACTCCATGAATCAGCAAATTTTCCTGAATACATTTGTCTATTGAGAACAATTTCAGGACATGCATATACCGGACACGAAAAACGTGAAGAAACAAAATCATTTGTTGATGTTGAATTTGGAAGCATAATTGCTTCATCAAGTCCAGTTAAAAGTAAATGTGTATGTATATTATTATTAAATATAATTTTTCGTAATTTTAAATCACGTATAATTAAACCAACTTGATGACACATATGTACAGCACGTACAATTTGTGTAAATAAATTTCGTGTTTCATGTTCATTTAAACGATGTTTTTCTGTAATATATGTATGTAAATTATTTGAATAATTTGGATATAAAACAATAGCTGTTCGTTCAAGTGATAAAATATCATGAAAAAAATGTAAATGATATTTAGCAGCTAATTGTTGTATTGACATTGATCTTATTAATTGTTTATTTTTAGTTGATGTAAGTAATATTGTTGTTAAACGTTGATATGGTTCTAAACGTTGACGAAGAATTTCAAGTGGATATTCTTTATATAAATAAACTTCATTAGTTGGTATATAACGTGCACATTT